GATTCGTGATACCGACTTGAATCCCAATTCAGAAGTGAGATGTCGGAAGCGCAGTAGAAGTGTGGATTGGTCAAGCTCAGATTCTATTTCGATTTAGATGTGACAGCAGAATGTTGAAGTAAAGGGTTCTAGTAAAGAGTGCGTTGCCGGCCTCGTGAAGCCGAGGTCTCCTGAATCTCGATTCAGATGCTGATAGTAGCTTGGCGGAGATTGGAGTAAAAGGTTCGAGGCTGACTGGTAAAATTGAGATTTCCTGAATCTTCTTAGATGCTGGTAGTGATATGGCGCTCGTTCGAGTAAAGTGTTATGCCGGCTTCCTGAAGCCGAGGCTTCCTGAATCTTGATCCAGATGCTGATATGACAACGGTCTGAGTAAAGTGTTCGATGCCGGCTTCTTGAAGCCGAGGTTTCCTGAATATTGATTCAGATGCTGATATGATAACGGTCTGAGTAAAGTGTTTGATGCCGGCTTCCTGAAGCCGAGGTTTCTTGAAATGATAACGGTCTGAGTAAAGTGTTCGATGCCGGCTTCCTGAAGCCGAGGTTTCCTGAATATTGATTCAGGTGCTGAGAGTGAGAAGGCGGTGGTTCGAGTAAGTGTTCGATGCCGGCTTCCTGAAGCCGAGGTTTCCTGAATCTTGATTCAGATGCTGATATGATAACGGTCTGAGTAAAGTGTTTGATGCCGGCTTCCTGAAGCCGAGGTTTCTTGAAATGATAACGGTCTGAGTGAAGTGTTCGATGCCGGCTTCCTGAAGCCGAGGTTTCCTGAATATTGATTCAGGTGCTGAGAGTGAGAAGGCGGTGGTTCGAATTAAGTGTTCGATGTCGGCTTCGTGAAGCCGAGGTTTCGTGAATGTTGATTCAGATGCCGATATGATAACGGTCTGAGTGAAGTGCTTATTACTGGCTTTGTGAAACTGAGTTTCCCTGAATCTTGAATCAGATGCTGGTATAGATGGCGGTGGTTCGAGTAAGTGTTCGATGCCGGCTTGTGAAGCCGAGTTTCCCTGAATCTTGATTCAAGTGCTGATAGCGATAATGGTTTGAGTAAAGTGTTCGAAGCCGGCTTCGTGGAACCGAATCGAGGTTCCCTGAATCGTATTCAGTCGCTGATAGTGATAACTTTGAGTAAAGTTTTCGATGCCGGCTGCGTGAAGCCGAGATTCCCAGGTTTTTCTGAGTGGTTCGAATGGTAGTGATGTCGGAGGTTTGCGAGGTAGTGAGATGTCGGAAGTTGTAAGAAAAAGCTTTGCTCAGTGAGACCTAGATTCTGTATCTTAATTCAGATGCTGATAGTGAAATCGGAAGTTGGAGTAAGAGTCGATGCAGGCTTTGCGAAGCCGTGGTTCCAGAATCCTGATTCAAAGTTAGTGAAATGTTAGAAGTTGTGGTAAAAATTTTGGTTCTCATTATGCCAACGATAAACTTGTAACCCAGATCTCACTGAGCTTTCGGAAGTTTGTGGTGTAATCTCGAGTGTTAGGAGCGCGCCTGCTTCGAGAGGTTGAAATTTCCTTGATCCTTGACTCAAATGTCAGGAAAGGCGTCGGCGCCGCGAAAACGTCGGCGTCGTTTTGTGAAGAGAAGGTTCTCGTGGATATTGCTGATTATATGTCGAGTTGCCCCGATCGGGAGTGCTTGTCATGCCGGTATTTTCGGGCTATGGTCTCTAGGAACCTGTCTTACAAGCCGATAGCGAGGCTTATAAGGTCAAGGTACAAATTTGTTAAAGACTTTTTGGAGGGAGTCTTCTCGAGTCGATCCAGAGCTCTCTGGCTAGATATAGTACGTGGGCTATGCAAGGGATGAGTTGTTATGACAGCTAGAGGATCAACTTTGTGCTAACATTTTTGCGTACTTCGCCTTCGCTGCTTGCGAAGACATAAGTATAGGTGCCACCTTCGTCAGTGTCTTGAGTGTAAGCTCTACAGCGCCGGGATCCTGCGCTTCACTGTCAGTACAGTGAAGATTGATAACAAGAGTACCGAGTGGAGTCGATGGTGGAACGCTCTGCAGTGCAGTCCGACGAAGCTCCTTTCTAAGAATGCACTAGAGCAGCAAGTTCACAGCCGTAAGTTTAACCAACCTTTGAATGCCACTATGTAGTCCTCTCTATTTAACATTGCTTCGATTTTTGATCAGGTCTAAGCAGGGTCATGACTAATTTTTTGCCGGGAATAAATGGATTTGTCAGCGTGTATGCGGCTTGAGATTGACTTCCTATGCTGTGGAGGAGTCACATGCGTTGATGCAGGAGACAAGAAGGCGGCGAAGTGAAACGTCTTTCTGACTCGTTGTGGTCGAGAGTTGCAGCAGTGTTAGAAGTTTGAGAATCGTCTCGGGTTCGCTGCTAGCTAGAATTTATGAATGATGTCGATGGCAATGTTGCAACAAGTTTGTAGAGCGCGTATCCGCAGAGCATGGAACAGCCGTGCAATCTTCATGCAAAAGCAGACAGTGGCAAGCATTTTGGATTCATTTCGTGTCTAAAATGGTCGAAGAGAATAAGTAGGGCTGAGAGAAGTGGAGAGATTGTCAGCTGGCAGGAGCAGATATGTATAGCCGCGGCTGTTTTCAATGGATCGCCTATAGACGAATATTGTGCTGATTATAAGCAACACTTCGCTCAGCTGCAAATGGCAAGCAAAAAACTGTCCTTCCGCATTGAAGCTGACTAGAAAAGAGCTTGGTTTTAATACGCCGTCATCAGAATCGCCAGAACTTGCGGAGCCTTCCACATTTTTGATGAGCAGGTCAGCAATAATGGTGAGAGTTACAGCAGTTTACTTCGGCAGCAGCAACGGCAGAGACGTCCTGCAAGTAGGTCAAGAACCCGTAGTAGCGGGTCAGCAACGGTTTGCACTAAAGAATCGACCATTGGTGGGATAAAGGTTCATGCAGTTGCCAGCCAGCCGTAGTTTAGTATGGCGGAACGCAATATGGAGACAGGGCCTACAAAGTTGAGATGACAGTTCGATTCTTCATCGTCCCGCTCAGTTACCCTCGGGCTCTAACTCCGCTGTTGTGTTGCGAAAATGCAAAACATAGGTTTTGCCGTAGTTTATCGGAGGCAAAAGTGGAGTTTTGCGATTTCGCAACAGCTCTGGCAGTGTGCCAAGCACGCGAATGGGGCGGGGCTTGTTTACAAGCACGTGCTTGGCACTTTTGGAGCCATTCCGGTCTTTCGTCAGCTAAGGACCCACCCACCCACCCGGGCCGAGGCCGCTGACGCGGAACATGCTCCAAGTGGCACGCGGGACGCAACCTCCTCTAAGGATCCACCCTCTCTCTGGGGTGAATGGGTGTTGCGTTTTTCAGGCACGAACCCCATGAGGGCGTTTAGAACTTTGCAGGGACAATCCAAACGAAATGGCATGGACTGGAATGGGTCACGATGCATGGGCAAGGCAGATAATCGTCGTTGGTAGAGCTGTGACCGCAATCCCTTTCTTGGAAAAATGAGGCACAAATGAAGGCGCTATTCGGCTATCCGGGCCCCAAAATTTTTTCGTCGTGGATTTCGCCCAAACTCGGCCCAGAGGGGTTATCTGACATGCTGATCACGAATATCGCCTTTTCTCCGCAGGAAAACGCCTCCCTGCAGGGTTACGGTAGGTATACGGTAGAGGGTCAAAATCATAGATTTGCCCGAAACTTGGCCCAGAGGGGTTATTCGGCCCGCTGATGCCAAATATCACATTGGTTTTGACCCGTAGCGTCATTTTCTCGGCTCAAGGTAGCTACACGGTAACGGGTGTAAAACATAGTTCTGCCTGAAACGGGTCTACGGCGACTCGGACGATCGTGAAGCTTTGCACACACGACTACCGCCGCGCGCTACACACCCTGCTACGGCTTTTGCCTAAGCAAAGCACAGGGGAAAGATACATTTGCCGATTTATGAGTTTGACCCCTACCGTAAACCTACCGTAACTATGCAGGGAGACGTTTTCGTGCGGAGAAAGTGTGACATCTCTAATCAGCATGTCGAATAACCCCTCTGTGCGAAGTTACGGCAGATTTTGAGATTTTGACCCTCTACCGTATACCCACCGTAACCCGAGAAAGTGACGCTACGGCACAAAACCAATTTGATATTCAGCATCAGCGGCCCGAATAACCCCTCTGGGCCAAGTTTCAGATAAATCTGTGATTTTGACTCCTTACCGTATACCTACCGTAACCCTGCAGGGAGGCGTTTTCCTGCGGAGAAAAGGTGATATTCGTGATCAGCATGTCAGATAACCCCCTCGGGCCAAGTTTGAGCGAAATCCATGACAAAAAAAAATTTTGGGGCCCGGATAGCCGAATAGCGCCCAAATGAAGTGGACTCGCAGGATTACCAGACAACGATAGATAGAACTTCATACATAGTCGTATAAAAAATACCTTTTTTGTGTTCACTAATACTACTGGAACCAGCACCACTATGTTGTTAGCCACCATCGCCTTACTATCTCCGCTTTCTTACTTAGGAGTGAATGATCGTCTTTTATCACTACTCCCAACAGATCTGGATGAATTGAGGATATACAAGTAACCTTGCGTAGCTGTTATCTGTTATGTACAGTCATGGGGGGTGCATTACCATTGTCTACTCACATCACGGGAATTTGTGCGTGTTATCCATATTCTGGAATGTCGGGCATATGATTGAGCTAGAAATGGCTTTGACTGGTTGTATTCTTGTTGCTACTGTTGTTGGGACGTGCCCCATTACTGTTTGTAAAAGCTGACGAATGAACCTTCACCCCGCTGTTGTGTTGCGAAAATGCAAAACATAGGTTTTGCCGTAGTTTATCGGAGGCAAAAAATGTGTTTTCCTTTTTTGTAGTATTATATTAGTTACATGATCATTGCTGTCTCATCTTTCGGTATGAAACAGCCAAGCATTCACCACAAAACTCTTTGCTGCCGCATGGTTGCCCTGCGCAATGATTGGCGGAAATAATCTGCCCTGCTGCGAAATCTGCCCTTGCGTCTACCGCGCACTGCTGCGTCGCATTAGCCTCGCAAAATTTCATTCCACAACCTTTTCAGCGCAAAGGGTATACTTTTCTCATTGTAGTACAAATATTCATGTTCTGTAGTTAGCTAGGATATCACCCACGATGATGAACTCGTTCCTTAGCAAGCTCATAGCTCATTCTCTAACGAAATCCAAGTTGTTGCATATCTAAAACTCGTTGGAGTACGGTGGTGAACTTGTTGACCAAATGTTTGCGTTCTGACAAGGGAAGGATGATAACTTAGATTCTTTTTCTGAGATGAGACACATAAGTTTGGAATCAGCTTGAAGCGCTGATTCCAAATGTGCTGTTCCTAGCTGCTTAGCATTATTCTGAAGCGAGTTATGATCTCTTTTCTATGCAAAATCTGCGTGCTCCTCGACCTACTGATGCTAGGGTGTCGACGTCTAGGTAGTTTTGCAATTGTATGATGCTACCCTTCAAGATCGAAAGAATCAACCTAATGCTAGTTAGACATCCTAGCACTTTCTTCGAGCAGATTTTTATCTACATGCTGTCTCTCGACATTCAAAAGTTTGTTATTTACTCACAACAACAAACCCATAACTCGTTCCGGAATAACGCTAAGCAGCTAGGAACAGCATCTTTGGAATCAGCGTTCAAAGCTGATGTCGAATTCATGTGTCTTATCTCAAAAGGCAAATCTAAGTTAGTATCCTTCCCTTGTGAGTATCCTAGACTCGCAAGAGAAGTTCGCTTGTCGGACTGGCGATTCGGAAGGTGATGTATACCCATGGATAGAGCTTTGAACGCTGATACCTTCTATATCTGCGATGCGCTCTTCTGAAAAAAGTTGTGAGCTTTTCTTATGCCAAATTTTTGCGCAGTTTTAGTCGTGAGATTATCGTTATTCTCACACAAAAATATGCAGGCTTAGGCAAAACACCTAAGCATTGTAGGTCTAATCTGATATCATCCGCTTTTGAGTGTTGTCCCGTGCTGTTATTTACAAGTCGTCATTTTCCTTCTAGACTACACTTCTATACAGATACAAAAAACCCGTAACTTCTTTTAGGAAAACGCTTTGCAGATACAGAAGCTAAATTTGAGATCAGCGTTTCAAGCTTAAAGGCACCGTCCACCCAAAGTGAGGGTTCACGAGATTCAATGGCATGCTAATGTGGGCCCCCACACTAGGCCAACCCCCAAGTTTCCCCGCAAAAGATTGTTTCCGGAGCGAGAAATCCGCTCTGGAAGTTACGTGATACGTGATCCAGAGGTGGTCACTCCGCCCATTTTGCAGCTTTGGGGGCTGCGGCGCTGATATACGCCGGGCGATAACCGCGCCGCAGCCCTGCAAACTGCACTTCCACCCGTCCCGCTTTCTCCAAAATAGGGGTTTTTGGGATTCTCGACTTCATATTCGAAATCAGGGCCTTCAGAAGGCCCGGAAGCGACAAAAACATGGAAGTCGAGAATTTGGGTGGACCGTGCCTTTAATCCGCAGGTATACATCAAATCGCCTCGAGCGAACTTCCTTTTTAGAACGGATGAAGTTGGGTTAGAGTATATCGTAATATAGATGATGAAGTTAACAGTTGTAAGGCAACCGCTAAACAACGTCTCAACAATTAATCTTTTTCAGGTGAGCATATGACATCTCGTTTACCACGCTTGTGGCAACCGGGCAACCCGCAGCGACATGTGTTTCTGCCGGATTTCTGGATTGCCGTCGCTTCAAACTCATCCGTGGGACGAACGAAATTGCCTAGAAACTGCGTAAAATTCGAAGTGGATCCTCGCATGTCAAAACGAGACGTTCGCGATTACCTCGTCAAAATTTACAATTTACCAGTGAGGGATGTGCGAACTGAAAATAAAATGGGAGATATCTTGTGGAGCACACCCGCTGATCCTCAGTATAAGAAAGCAATGTGGAAGGATGTTGACAAGAAGTTCGCTTACGTTTTCATGAAGAAAGGTTTTGAATTCACCGTCCCTGATATATTCCCTGAGGATGAGGAAGAAGTTGAATTGCAAAAGGTGAAAGAACAACAAGAACGACTGACGGAGAATAGCAAATTTAACAATCGTGATAGAAATAACATTGGTGAGTTCTTTGGGGTGTGAATTTGTAGAATTGCTCATCTAGGTTGTTCAAGAATAGCGCAGTTTTACTAGTTGTCGGTTGTTTTCTACTTTCCATTCCAAATTATTTGGAGCACCAGTATAGCGTACATTATTTGAATTGTCCATCTGCTCATCACATGTACATTTTGTGGATGAAATGCTAAGCTATGTACAACAAAAGGTTTATTGTAAATCATCTTTCTTTTTACAGTAAATCATACCGATGTCTCAGATCAATTTACATCTACGTAGGAATAGTTCACTACAAACCTGCTACAAGGTACTAGCCAAGCAAAAAATTCGGTACACGAGACAAATATATAGCCATATAGCCAACACATGACCAGCAATTTACATTCATTTGTTTTTGCCTCCTCTTTCCTTGATCTGCAAGATAACGAACGATTGGTTCTTCATGTTGTAAAAGGCCAAGGAGAAGTTGTCTTTTAGGAAGAAACCCTGAAATGGTAAACTTGGTTGGAGCGATCTCTGATCTCCTCAATATTTGATCATTTTGCAAGTAAACTCTGGTTATTGTTGAATTCCTAAAGATCTGATTTGATACCAAGATCAAAAAATTCAAGATTTTACAACATAGAAATATGGATTACTCACATCGAAGATAAGCTTCTGCTTTCCTGTTGGCATGCTGAGCTTATCCTGAAGTTGCTGCTTGAGATCCGATACCTGCAAACACTATGATACGGATGCTAGAGCCATTTCTTGATGTAAATGTCCACAGTTAACGGACGTAAAGCATGACATTAACATGAGTAGTCAACAGAGCAACCGTTGAATAAGACTAGTGATTTCATGAAAATCGAAGTAGAACTCACCTGCGAGGAAACATCGATTTGTAATCCGATGATCGATCCATCCATGTTAAACTCTGCACTTACTGGTAGTTGTATGCGCAAGTCAATCGCACCATTCACCTGAGAATATGGAAGGATTGATACAGAGTAAACGCATAAATTATGATTCATTATTAGCTCATTGATTTGTAAAGTTACAAAATAGGCCGAAATTTGAATGATAACGATTTTTACCTTCTTTAGCCATTCAGCCTCCGGCTCTAGCTCATCCTCAGTTCTTTGACGTTTTGGCGGAGGAGCCTCGGGCTGCTAAAGCGAGTATCTTACAACCAACTCCAATTTCATTCAATAAAACATACCGAAGTTGGTGGGGGAGGCATGGCACCATAACCTGCCATGGTCGCCTGAGCGGGCATGCCACTGCCAGGTACAGGCATTGGTATGCCCGTCTGCGCCATGGCGAAAGCTGCTGGTAATGGCATCAGCCCTGCAGCGCTCGAAGGATATGCCGTCATGCGCTGAGCAGTAGCAACAGCAGCTGCAGCGGCGGCGGCAGTGCGTTGTTGCTGGGCAACTTGTTGTGCTCCTATGCGTTCTTTCGACGCATCGGGTAGGAAGCCGTGTTGGCGATGAATCTCGTGAATTTGTTGATCTGAAGTGTGTGTTAAAGAGAGGCACAAAGCAGAGTGCAAAATTTGCTCTGATCAGAATATAGATATCAGTTAACACAAAGAGTAATTCTAAAAACGTTTAACTTCGTCTCTTGTTATTTAATGCACGCTCTATCACCAACAAAATCCGCGATTTTGAGCTTCTCCTCAATAGTCGTCCTTTTTGTGTAGTTATTACTGAAACTTGGTGTAAGCCCCAGCTTTTACATGATGCCACCCTCAGTTTTTCAAATAAGTATTGTGTTTATCGTTGCGATCGAGATGGAAAACGTCCTGGGGTGGGGTAGCTGCACTCACTGCCTGAAGCATTCGCTTATAGAAGTAAGAAATTTTACTGAATTCTGTCAATGTCTTGTCACTCAGGTTACGTTTGCTAGCTCTGATGTATTATCGCTGTTTATAGAAGTCCGTCATGTATTCTAGATGCACTTTATGGCTTACTCGATTTTCTTGATCAGTTTATGGTTGAGCAACGATATAGAACTATTGTGTTGAGGGATTTCAATTTCCCACTTATAGACTGGGATTTTATGACCACCAGAGACAACATGTCCACAAATTCAGCCGCCAAATTTCTTGATTTCTGTTTGGCGCAAGGCCTCTCCCAGCTTGTAACTACTCCCACCCATGAGCTCAATATTCTTGATCTAGTTCTAGATGAAGACCCAACTGTCGTTGATGGTGTCAGTGTTATGCTGCCGTTTAGTACTGCAGACCATATTATGGTCCAACTTGCCAGGAATTACTTTGATCTTGAGCCCAAAGGTGATTTCCTAGATTTCCAGAAGGCAAGTTACACTGAGATTGTGCATGAATTTAATTCGTATAATTGGCACCAGATCTTTGAATGTTGCGCAAGTTCAGATGAATGCTATGGGCTACTGTGCCATCTACTTATACGTAAGTATGTACCACTTCGCAGAAAGCATGGCACATATGTTAAGATACCTGATGAATTGCTTAGGCTTAGTAAGAGAGTGGCTTATCTTTCTCACTGTCGAGCCTCACTGGGTACGCATAGGTACACCTCGTTAGCTCGTAAACTCAAAAGGGAAGTGGCCCGCTGGAGAAGCGCCAGCGAAAATAGAATTGCCAATTCGGAAAACTGTAGAGGATTTTACAGGTACTGTAACCACAAGTTGAAGCTTTCGGATCGTATACCTAATCTCAAGGAAGGTGACAACATCTTACGTGAAGACCTGCAAAAAGCAAACCTTTTCGCAGACTACTTTGAGAAGGTTTATAAAAGTCATCCCCCTACTTCCGTAACACTGCCCCCTAAGACTGATGAAGTACTTGACTGGGTCGTCATCACTACCGAAGTGGTTTACGACAAGCTTCGCAAATTGCCAAAAAGGAACTCCACCTCTCCAGACGGGATACCATACATCTTTCTAAAAAATGCCGCTCTGGGATTAGCTTTCCCCCTTACGATACTGTTCAACAGATTCCTCTTGAGGGGGGAGGTTCCGCAAATTTGGAACCTTGAGCTTGTCAAGCCCATCCACAAGAAGGGTCTCAAAATATCCGTTGGCAACTACCGCCCAATATGTTTGACTTGCTCAGTGTGTAAAGTTATGAAAAGAATACTTTGTGAGGGTATCATCAAATTCTTAAGCCAAAATAAGCTACTCGCCAAGGCACAAAATGGCTTTCTTGGCAAGAGATCAACTATGTCTGCTCTCATGTCTTCGATCCCACTTTGGCATAGAGAAGTGGATCGAGGCCGAATGTCTCTGTCTGTTTTGTGGATTCAGCAAAGCCTTTGACTCCATTTCTATACCGCTGCTTCTTGTTAAGCTCCGAGCCCATGGCATCCAAGGCTCATTGCTGAAATTTTTGAATTCCTTTCTTAGTGGTAGACAACAATCATTTACCATCAACACCGCTAATTCACGTGTCTACAATACCACGAGCGGTGTACCCCAAGGGTCGGTCCTTGGCCCCTTGCTGTTTCTCATATACATAAATGACCTTCCTGGCCCTCTCCCAGCGGGCACTTTCTGTTCCATTTACGCTGACGATTCCAAAATCTACACCATAAATGATGCCGCTCTCTTACAAGAAGCTATAAATGCACTTGCTGCATGGTCGTCAACATGGCAGCTAAATATTTCTAAGGAGAAGACCTGTCTTATGACTTTCGGCAGAAACCACCCTATATTCGAGTTCACGCTTGATAGGTCCATCCTACATCGTACCCGTTCAATTCGTGATTTGGGTGTTATGTATACTGACAGCTTTGACTTCCATGCCTACATTTCAGAGATTGTTGCAAAGGCTAAATGCCGATCGAATTACATCCTCAAAGCATTCAGCAGTCGAGATCCCATACTGCTTTTTAAACTTTTTTGCTTATGTTAGAACTATACTCGAATACTGCTCGCCTCTGTGGTCTCCTCAAGGTAGAGCACATATTGAAGCTATAGAGAAAGTTCAGAAGTCTTTGACTTGTAGAATATTCGCCAGAAAAGGCATTTTTGAACTGTCTTATCTCGGCAGAATCAAAAAATTGCAAACGCTTACACTGAAAGACAGAAGAGTTTTTGCGGATTTTGCATTCATTTATAAGCTCACCACAAACGAACTTGACCTCAACCTTTTTGACATCTTTGGAGAACCACAGCGAGTAAATTGAGAGGCCATCCGTTCAAAATTAAAGTCGATAAAGCCAGACTTTCTTCTTATAAGCAAAGCTCATTGGACGGGTGCAGATGCCCCAGAATAGTCTGGATCCCCAGCTTTTTAAGTATTCTTCTGCTGCATCCTTCTGTTTTCATTTGCTTGAATACCTTCAATCTCGTAACATGCTGGTATCATCTTGAGATTTCTTATACTTTGTTTACTTGTTTTTCATGCGTTGTTTGTTCCATTATTATTAATCGGTAAATCGTTGTTTTGTTTGGTTTTCTTTCGCTTCTGTCTTAAGTGTTACTGAATAAACAAATCAAATCAAATCAAACTTACTGCGAAGAGATAAGCCATTAAGAACCAATAAACTTACCAATCGTAACTTGGCTTTGTACGGCAAGAGTATGTGCTTCACGAGTCTCTTCAGATCCATCCCAAATAAGCTGCTGGAAACTCAACTGCATAAATTACGCAACGAAAAAACAAGCAAAACTGGCGAAAAGAAAAACGGTAATCAACATCTGTTGTCAAGAACTGATGCCAAAAGGTCCAAAGAGTGTCAAATAATCTAGAAGGAAGCATCAAAAGCCCAATGGAAAACCTAGACTATGATTACCTTCGTGGGCTGCGGTGCTTCCTCTCCCAGTTTTCTTCCGATTACCGTTTGTTCAGCTCCAGCAGCGCCAACACCGAAGATATCGGTACGACGTTCGGCAAATCTTCACAGAATAAAGATAGAAATAAAAGGCTAGCTATGTCAACAACTCATACCTTCCCAGGTTTTTGCTGATTTCCGCACCAGGTGCCAAAACTGGCTCTTCGTTACCGCGTTCGCCGAGCAGTCTTTCGCGATCTTCTTTGTACTGTGCATCGACGGTGTTGTATCTGTAAACATAGGTACAATGCAGATATTTTATAAGAGAAGAAAGTATCCACCAATCCGGATTACTTACCGTACATGTTCCTCCAACTTATCTGACGGAATCCTCTCACCAGTAAGCGGCGAAATTAACCATTTATCAGCGGGACGTTTGATTGCATGTGCGGCTAAAACTCTCAATTTATGCTCAGACTGCATTATCTCTTCCACTCGATTACCCTTCTTAGGATCGTAATCTTTCACTATAAGATCCTTCTGTCGTGTTGGTGGTAGTGGAGTAGAGAACTCCGCAGGTGGTGGAGGTGCATCCTCCTGTGGTGTAGGTGCTGCTGGTTTTGGTGCGGTGTCAGGAGCTGTTTCAACCTTGAAACAACGCTGATTTAGAAACGTATGAAACAGCGCAACAAGATACAAATTTACAAAAATATCCAATATCCATATCCAAAAATGCTATAAACATCCATATTTGAGAGCATTATGATTTTAAGCAATCAAAGTTAGCAACGACAATTATGCCATCCTACTCTATATAAAGCGCAAGCACCCCATGTGAGTCGGCGCGTCTGTATGTCCACGTAAACATGTCTGTATATGCGCCCCAAAGAGCGATCAAGAAGTGATCCTTGGCATTCGCCAGGCCATAACTGCGCAAACATTTGAGAGCTTCCAGAAAAGGTATCATGGTTGTGGGTACAAAGTACAGTTCAGAATACATGTTGACTGATCATCTCTCTCTACATTACTCCAGTTAGGTTCCAAACCATCAACACAGACGATTCAAATTTGACAGAATCTTCTGCCGATTTGCTACAGTTTTTTCCCATCTGCTCTGGCATCAACGCGCACTATTCAATGTTTCAATTTCGCTTTAAAAATAACATACAAATTTAACAAAAGTATGCTAGGGTTTTAAGTGTAATAGTCAATGTTTTGATGTTCCACATTAACTTTGCAAGAAGCACCTTATTAGGATGATCAATGTTACTCGCAAGCATTCAAATTGTTTCAAAATCTTTGATGAGGTCCCACAGAAAATTTCATCGATTCCATTTTTGAAAAGTTTATTTTTCAACTTTTGGTGCAAGCACGAACTCTTTAAAGATTTCCATCGAATGGTTAGCAGTCTTTCAGTCCCAACTAGGGGACCGAATTTGTTGTTAGATCTATTTCGTTCTTCTTTTAACATCGCGCTTCTCTATTTCTATTATGGAGCGTTTAATTTGAGCAGCATAAGTTTTTCTAAAAGTATTTCAGCAGAATACTGCACTCTTCCATATTTCTTATATCGAGTGCTTAGTATGTTTCCTCACCGTAACAGTTGCGGCAAATCTTCAAATGTTCTGTCCTTCTAATTTTCTGCTAACATATCTCAGCAAGAAAGGAAACTTTCGTTCTCCATGAAGTGTTTAGTAAATGTTTTATCTCAGACAAACTGCTAGATATGTTTTTGAAGATTTCTCGCAAATTTTACTTCGGACAATATCACTTTTTTTGAATGGGCGCGTTTTGAAATACCCACACCACAGGCATTTCTTTAGACTGTGTCTTCTTAATTCACATGCAAAGATGTTTGTCAAATTTGACAAATTCGAAAATTGAGTCCATCGAGTTGTCATCTCAACATCATGTAAACTTTTTAAATAGTTCCCAACAATTATACGAAACACTATCTTTCCAAACGAATGCAGCATGCTTATGTGAATTGAATTGTGAAAATTTCCATAAAACCTAGATGCAATAATCTTTCATAGCTAGGGAAGGGTGAAGGGTAGACTCTAAAGAAACCACTTTTGAATTCCTGGGTTTCCTTTCAAATATCAAAAGTTCGAAGAGTAATGTAGACGAAGCCGATGCGATCATGATTATTTTTTTAGGACTAGATGCCGTATGAATCTGCCGTTAGCATCTCAGCTACGAATAAGAGACAAGATGTCATGCAGGTTGGCTTCACATAAACTGAAGCTCTGCTAATCTTCAACGCAGCTTTTTGAAATATTGCATAACCTCAAAATTGTATAAGGAACGAGATCTGCCTAGGTGAGCAACTAAAAGCATAAACGCCTTCAAGTAGGTCCTTTCAAGAATTTGAATTAGTAACACTTGCTAATATTAAGGTAATCTAAAAGTTGAGTGGATTTGTAGCACCTAGGGATGAATTTCTAGGATGCTGGACATTTGCAAAACTTATAAAACTTATAAAACGCGAACGAGAGTTTTGACAGTAACATTCCTTGAAGTGGAAGAGGAATTGTGAAGCTTCCAAGAAAGAGTACTTAGTGAAGAGAAAGAGGGAATGTTTGATTTAAAAAACTCTAGATTTGGTGGTTCGACTATTGGCTAAATACTTTCAAAAATATCAATTCGAATTTTCTTGCTAATTTAGTTTTAAAATAAGAGTAGTTTGATTAAGAGCTTTTGGGGGAGTGGAGGTTCTAAGGCAGTTTGGAGGGTCACTCAATGTGGGAAACAGGGCCCCGGATGGGAAGAGTGCACATACAGTCGAGTAGATTTTCCGCTCAATATATGTGCTTGCACAGTTTATGAAATGCAGTAAAATTTGCTCGTGAACAGGTAGCTGCGCCAGCACTGCCGGCACTTTGCGCGCGCAACTGGCCGGCGTCACAGTCAAAGCTAATTTCTCACGCGCAAATTTTACCGCATTTCATCTTCTGTGCAAGCACACTATATTAAGCGGAAAATCTACTCGACTGTAACTGGGAAGACTTTGTCGGGTTTGAAGGCTTCAATCACAAAAATTTTTTTCACGTGAAGGTTTGAGAGCATTCGAGAATCTTCGCAGAATGGAGAACTGGCAGGCTAAGTTTGTCTCGATCGTGATCAGACGCACCTCAAGAAATTTCGTTGAGAAGCTTCTGGGTGAAAAGGAGTTGAGGGAAGCGGAGGAAGGGGGGGAGTGGAGGGAAAATCCTGGAAGGACTCGGATAGCAAAACGCAAAATTATACAAAATTCGAGTATCTGTAAATTAAGTGCCTGTAAAATCGTGTTTCCGTGAGCAAAAAAAGTAGCGGTGCGGTTAGGAGAAACCGGGGGAGAGGGGGGGGGGGGAGAGCAGCCATGATTCTGTTGCCAGTTTTGATAAATAAATTTTCGAATACTTCGAAAGCAGGAAAGATCCCCGACTTTGATAATCTCTGGGGTAGTTACGTGTTTAAATCCGTACCATACGTTTGGGGAGGAAAAGTTCGCTACAAATCTTTAAAAGTTCTAGCTTTTAGTCACATTCCCACTTTACACACACAGCCAGTCCAAAGCGCCGCGAAGCGGCGCTTTGGACTGGTATCAAATAAAAGGATAAAAGTCGAACCTCATTTTGAATTTGTTCACCCTCTTCCTCACTGTCTGACTCATCCATATCCATTTCCATTGCCTCTCCAGCTTGCTTTTGAGCTTCACTTCTTGCTTCGAGCAATATACGAGCGCCAACATCTTTCGGAGTGCACAAACCAGGCAAGTTGCCTCAAACCGTTAATTACAGATAGGAGAAGAAACGACTAAAGCATGAACAAACTAGCATCTCCTGGTTGGAAATCTACAGTCTGTACAACCACAAAATCATGCCAGTCGATCGAAGCATACGCGACTCGCTCCTAAAACACTCTCGGTCAAAACTGAAACGGAAAAGTGTTTGAGCTTATATTTCCAAGATTTTCCACGAATTGGAATATCCTACCTTTTCCGCCTCCTTTTCTTCCTTGTCTCTCAGACTTTTCTGATGCTTTTCCCATGCAACTCTGTAATTTACGTCTTCCATAAGCTTCTTTGTGTTGCCCTTTTCATTGCGAAGGTCTTCGAGTATCGTGTTTGGAGGAATTATCACCTAAAAGGTTCATCATTGCTAAACTTTGATTTTGTCATGATCTACAAGAATGCAAGCAAAATATACACATAGCTAGCAGTAATGAAATCCCACTTTCGTGTACTGTTCCACAAGCTTCGTAAAATAGGTGAAATTTGAATGCTGCGGTTTCAGAAAATCAAACTGAAAGTTGCGAGCTTCTCTGGTCATTAACTGAGTGAGGAACTGGCGCCCGTTCCTGGCCACAAATAACGCAGTCATTCGAATAAGATCACTAAATAGGTTTGAACAACGCTGACAAATAGAAAAATTGGAAGAGTAACTCACAGGTCATAAGCATTGATCGTTGCTGGATCAGCACAATACTCAAAGGCGGGCGGTGGCTTTGTTGGGATAAACTCTGCCTTTTTAACTGCATCTTTAACTGCTTCGGGAAGATGGGGCTTCGGTGCAACTGTTGTGGTATCTGCTTTACCTTCTTGAAAATCGCGGACCTTTAAGCAGTGCAGACATATTACAGATCTGATTGTTGTATGAAAAAGCCAAAAACAGTTAAAGTACTTCATCGATTTTAAGCTAACAGAGATAGTGCACTCACTAGTCTCATGTTTATGAATACAAAAGGGTACCATGTCTTCTGATATTCTTGAAATAATCTCGAGAGAGGTCAGAAAAGTCACAAAAATCAAAAAATTTACACAAAAAGGTCTGACTGTCAATTTTATGGCAGACTCGGAAAGCATTGAGCATCGCGTGCAAAAAAAACTGATTTTCTAAGATGAAGATGAAATGAAATTTTGTCTTGCTAGTTGGCTTATACAGCCTCCTATGAGATCTTTCTCATTCCTTGTCAACAAATGACTACGCTCTTCAAACAATTACTAATCGAAGGAAAAGAAGAATGTATTTACGAGATTTGGGATTACTGTTCAATCACAAACTGACAAAACAAGAAGACTACGTAACAAATCGAAAAAACTGGGCTGTTCTAGGCAACTGTGTCAAAAACCAGTGCAACAAGTAATTACAAGATCAAAATAGTACCTTCTGTTTGTAGTAAGCATTATATGGGTCCGTCGCACTTAAGAAGTTGAAGCGTTTGTTATTAGCTTCCTTCTCACGAATCTTATTCTCAAAGTCCACACCATTTCGCGCGACGAAAGCAGCAGTTTTATCAACGATAGCTGAATTAATATGGATATCGCTTCATTCGTGAAGAAGAAATATAAAATCAAAAGTTCGAAAGACCAAAAACGTAGAAAAGTTACAACAATAAAATTCCCACTCCCGGAAAACTAACTTCGAATATCCGGTGGCGGATAAATGAGCCCAATGATGGTGCGGCCGCTGAGAGAAGGTTCATTATTCATTGAATCTTCCTCGCGATTGGAAACAACCGTGGCAGCGGTTGGCGCCATTTCTGTAAATACCTAATAGACTTCTGTGAACACTTAGTGTTATCTTGATAGCTTCTTTCCGTGCGTATAGCGGGCGTGGCCCTGCAGACATTTGAACACGTTGGAAAACTTGTTGGACCTCCATTTTGAAGCATTAGTTTTTGTAGTGTCTCGCTATCAAAAAGACCGACTATTATTCCAGGAGGTGATTCCTGCGATTCCTGTAATTACTGCAATATGATTCCTGGAACTTCCGATGTGCCGCACTACGGAGCCCCTTGCAAACTTCAGTATGCATTGTTTTTTCGTAATATATATACATATACATTGTTACAGGACCCGCAGGAACCACAGGAACACAGGAATAGCATAGCCGGTCCAAGTACGTTGGCAAACGTCGGCAAAGCTCCGCCGGCTCTACCGTGGAGAAAGAACGATAGCAGAAACGACACAATCAAGAGATAAATACATAATGGCAGTATGTTCGAAAAAAAGATGAAGGCACAGATGAAACGATTCAAAACTTTACGAGCCTACCACTACTATTCGCCATAATTACGAACGCAGGAACGTTCATTCATAATAGGGCGTAAAATCAAATGTAGTGTGACAACACTTTGTTGCGTGACGCGCATTTACGGACTGAAAATTGAATCACGGCCCGGGTGGGGGGACGAACTCTGCCAGTTTTGAGCCGCCTCCGCTGGCAGCTGATCTTTTGCAGTTGTTACTAGTCGTTGCAGGACCATAGTCCGCGGAGGCGGCCAGAATTGGCGGAGTTCGTTCCCCCACCCAGTGAGTCCCTACCAAAACCTCGAGGACCGGCCCGCCGCCCGTCACCGTCGGCTCAGTACGCGCCGCAGTCCGCATCGCACTGAAATTCATCACTGAAGCGCGTTTTTACGCTGGCGTCGCAAATATGCAAAAAGAGTTAGCACCATGTTAGTACCCATCACCACTGTTCGTCACTTTGTAATCACCTAGCATAGGCACATCTGCCCGAAAAGGACAAGGTCCACGGCAAATCCATAACCTCATGCCGTACACCTTCCAGAACTCCACGAAGAAGCCTCATTATGCAAAAATAAGTAGGCTGTTTGTATCTAGCATACCAGATAACCCTCTTAGACCGATCAAAGCCAAATCTGTGATTTTGACCCCGACACACAATGCAAGGGAAAAATAAGTTGCCGGAAAAATCTCGTAAATAACGTGTAGGAGAATGCCTGTGCCGACATTGTCGGCACTTCCTTACACTCGTATCCTTACTCTCACCGAAGTACCGTAAAGGTCATGCCATAAGCATGACCTGCTGTGATACCATTGAGTTACTTTGCTCCGCCTGTTATCGTCAGCATTCTACCACAGCACCAACGTGTGCAGGTCGCCTGTCTCAATAAAGCGTAAATGCTTTCGTGTTCTGTATAACACATTCCACCAGGCGCTATGTCGCCTAAGGCCACAATAGAGCCTAGAACCACCGATACATTTTTGGTGCATCGGCCAAATAAGACCGATAAGTGCCTGCTCAAGAGCAGCACAACAACAACAACAATGAGGATTTCGACTTTCCTCACAGATGTATTCAGAACCTCTACCATTGAACTCGCGGAACTACTGCAGAGGTACGCGTGCCATGGTGAGAAAATTATCCTTCCAGATGATGACCAAATGTGCCAAGATCTATGCTCTGACCATCTGGATACATTAGCGAGATGCAAAACGGATATCGAAGACCGCATCGATTCGCTACAAATGGACTTCGAGATATTGGAGGAACTACACAAAGAGGCCAAATCAAAAGCGGCAAAGGAAGTGATGGAGAAGGATTGGGACGCGTTGGAAGAAGAGATAAGACTTTTTGAAACCATTTTTGACGCCAGAAGGTTTCTATATCTCTTGCAAGATCGTATGGCAGAAATCGTATCCTTACTCTCACCGAAGTACCGTAAAGGTCATGCCATAAGCATGACCTGCTGTGATACCATTGAGTTACTTTGCTCCGCCTGTTATCGTCAGCATTCTACCACAGCACCAACGTGTGCAGGTCGCCTGTCTCAATAAAGCGTAAATGCTTTCGTGTTCTGTATAACACATTCCACCAGGCGCTATTTCGCCTAAGGCCACAATAGAGCCTAGAACCACCGATACAATGCCCATCTATTGTGTTCCAGCAAAAATCAAAAATCACACCTTCGAAATTTGAGGCTTGGATGTTAGAATGAAGCCAATCTCGTAGAGGCGGAATGCTTGCACATCTTATATATAAAGCTGAATGTCTGTTTGTCTGTATGTCTGTATGTCTGTCTGTATGTGTGTACGTATGTTCCGAATAGAAAATTCCATTTCTGAACCGATCCGGACCAAACTTGGCACACATACACTTCGGGCCCCGGCGGGTGCCATAGGCTACTTTTCGTCATCGATCGATATCGATTTTATCGATTTCTTGCAAAATTTGAGCTACGGGGCTGGGAGTTGGCACAGGGGGGTAATCGAGCATGCTGATTACAAATATAATAATGACAGGGCCGGGCGGAGCCAGGTAAGTCAACTAGTTGCTATATAAAACTCCATCATACATTCAAGACTTGTGCGGGAAAGGAGGCTGCACAACACGTGATCCTACCAGGGAGAACACAGGATTATAAAAGTCAAACCGACATCGTTTTTGACTTAGGCGTCAAAAAAGAAAAAGCGTGTATGATCCGCAGTGTACGGACTTTACATTCAATTTGACGCCTAATATCAGAAAAATGAGAATTCTTTGTTTCTGACCGTCTTTTCGAATCGGCTATATTATAGAAGCCAATAGGCATATGCTGAAACTGAGATTTTGAAAAGTACTCCAAAGTGAAGTTCAATAATCACAATGAACCAATCACGGCCAGATTTGGAATTTATATGTTTTCGAGGTCCTTCCTTCAGTAACAATGCCTGTTTTGGGCAAAAGGTCAGGATACAAGAGTTACAAACAAATTTTGAAGGTCAGGATCTAACGGTTAAAACTAGAGAGCCTGTTTTTTGGAGTTAACTGTGGGTGAAACTAGAATCTTGCCTGCATTTGATCACAGTTGTGCATGTAACTACAGTCTCCCCTTCCCCGCGTCGCACGATTCTGACCTCATAAAGGTTTTCTTCGAGCGAAATGCCGCAGGCGCCAAAGGCTGTGACCTGTATCTCATGTAGCCATAACTAGTTGACTGTTATTGTTTCGGAGAATGCCTCATGATTATCCATAAATCCATTATCAAGCAAGACTTATTTACAGTCTTGTTGGCTACAAGCTGTGCACCTGTTAGCGTGGTCAGTAATGTCGTACGTATATCATGTGCACGAATATCGAAATAAAGCACTTATGGTTTTGGCATGAGCTCATTATCTAACCTTCACCTTGAATTTTGCTGAAATTGAACATAGCTAGAAACGAAAACAACATCGAAAACGTATAAATCCCATTTCTGGCCATGGCCGGTCAACTAAAAGTCCTGAACTTCAACCTGGAATACTTTTCTCTGGCCGTGGTTGGTCCACTAATATTCCTGAACTTCAACCTGGAATTTTTTTTTTGAAATCTCACTTCCAGCTTTCAGCAAGCAGACACTGTTACTGAAAAGAAGGTTCATTGTGATTACTGAACTTCACCTTGGAGTACTTTTTAAAATCTCAGTTTTAGCATATGCCTGTTGGCCTCTATAATATAGCCGATTCGAAGAGACGGTCAGAAACAAGAAAATCCCATTTTTTTTGATATTAGGCGTCAAATTGAATGTAAAGTCCGTTTACTGCGGATACTACGCACTTTTTATTTTTTGACGCCTAAATCAAAATCGATGTCGGTTTGACTTTTATAATCCTGTAGGGAGAACAGACTAAACAGCACAGCGACTCTACAATTCCACACCGCTTTACTAGTCATCTTCAGACAATGAGCGTGAATTGTGAAGCCTACAAGTCGTAGATCTTCATCCTTGTTGCGATATCTGTTGCGAAAATTTCTCGAATTGTATTCTAGCGGATCTAGTGAGATTACTGTGACTTAGTGAATGCAATACTCTCGTTTGATAGGAAGGTAGCGCCTCAAAACCACATCTAGCGACATATAAATCAATAGTTTTGGATTGGTATTACTGCCAGAACTCTGCCCGAACTGAAGCTGATGAACTTATTGACAAATTTGGAATCCCGCTAATGCCACATTTCCCGTGACTGGACAAGCATGTGAGTGGACAGAGTCACTGGCTCTAAATTTGCATACCATACTGACATCCTATCTGTCCACCTGTCCAACCATAAAGCCTTGTCTTCTTGGTGTAGAGAGTGAGTCTAGTCCGGACCGCGCAAAAAAAAGGTCGTGATCTCAGCAACAGATTGCATTATTTTTATACATGTCTATCCTCTCTAATAATATGAAGCGGACAATCAAAAATGGAGGAAAGTTTTCGTCTGCGTAGAGCCATGCCTATCAGTCCTGCATAGGTCTCTCCTTACTGCCTGCTCATATTTTACTGGCAAGCTTTAGTGTTTGACCCCAGCTGAGATGGAAGCAATGTTTGGCGTTTTCCTTCTGCACAAAAGCACACGAGGCAAAGTGACTGATTTGTTTGGCAAATTGCTCCGCCAAACGGAGCCATAACGAAATCTACGCACTAAAATAAGTTTAAAAAACCTTTTCGCCTGGTAGCTTAGAATAGTTGCGCAATATTCCCTCATGCTTTATGAAACGAGTATACGGGTGCACGCGTCGCCTTTGAGCCGCGACGCGTACTGAGCCGACGGTGACGGGCGGCGGGTTGGTCCTCCAAAACCTCTCGTTCTTCTTTTTCGGTAGCGTCGAGTGCTGATTTTTGGATTTTAACATTGTTGCAGTGGCAGACCGTGAACTAATCTGTCAGTGAAGTTTGGAAAAAGGGATCTGGAGAGCCAAAATCCACTCCGGAAATCTTGTCGAGGCGCAGAATGAGAGACTTAGGTACCGTCGATTCGTTGACCGCACACGGACGCTCCAACGCTGCGACCACGCGCGGAGCGACTGAAATGTAGGGAGAACACGATTTGTACAATGGCGAATTTGTACGGGAGCAAGCGTTTTACCTCGCGGCGCGTACTCCGCAGTGATGCCCAGTCCGTGCGGTCAACGAATCGGCTATGTGTAACAACTTAATAGGTGTTTTGTTGTTACTGACGTATACGATGGTGGGCCAAAACATCAGTGTGCTAGTATTTTGCATACTGGGCCTATTTGACCTTATTAATGAATAACTGTTATCGGCAACATCAGAATTGCCTTGATAACGACCCTCCCGCTCCCAGGATGTGGTACACACCCCACGCTTGACCGTGGCGGGTAGGGGAACGAAGGCCGCCAGTTTGAGCCGCGTTTTGCGGCCAAGGTCCTTTTGCAGTGTTGTTGCATGTCGTTGCACAACCAGTAATCTGCGAAAGCGGCAGAAACTGGCGGCTACCGTTGCTATTACCGCGGTGCATCAAGCTATCGGCTCTTTCTTTGATGGCCTTCTTCCGAAAGTTCCGGCAAATTGTGTAGTGTGATTGCGGGCTTTGGAAGCACAGCTCATGCACTGAACTGAAACATTTTGTTCCAAGGTCCTTATATAATGGTGGTGCTTGTTTCGGGAATAATATGTTTTAGATGCTGCTGAATCGGTCAGTGGCAAAACTGCTGTGCTGTTCTCTCCGATTATCCCGAAATAATGCATATCTGAGGAGGCTGGGTGCCGCTCAACTCTCTACATCGTCAGTTTTGGCAGCTGAGTTAGCGATTCATTTCATTCGGTCCCTGGTTCCAGCTTTTCCTATACACTTCATCTGGCGTCTGATTTTATTTTATCTTAGGAAGAAAGCCGATGATGAGTTGGAGAAGGAGTTGAACAAGCTGAATGAAATCTTAAAAAAAGACTTTGCTTCAACGGTGAAGAAAGGCGAGGAGGAAATGGACAAAACTTTCATGAATTTCAAAGCAAAGCGAGAGGTATTTTTTGTCTCGCTTCCTTGCTTTCCATTCATTCGTTTTTTGTCTCGTCACCAGCTCTTTCGCTGATTTCCATATCTGTGCTTCTAACCTAAAAGCTTTCAGTTTTCAGCAGCAGCCTATAAGCGCAGCATGATATTCAACTGGAGAATTGCAGCGGCCACTCTCGGTGTCGGTGCCACATGTTTGCTAGCATTGTTCTATATCAGAAAAATTGTAAGTTGGCGCTTCACTCAAAAAAAAAAGCTTTGCTAGATGATCGTAGTTTTGCAGAGATTAGAAGAGCGAGAAAAACACATGAAATACATCGCCGGTAAGGCTCGTATCGGAGGCGATTGGGAGCTTGTTAATACGGAAGGTTAGGAATGTATTATTAGCGCAGACTCGAAGGCATTGTTCACTCAGATTTGAGAGTCGTGAGGTTTCGATGCAATACAGTAGCTTTTGACCAAGTGATGCTCATGTCCCGCTGTAAGGCCTAAGGCATACCTACAGCGATCCCGTCGTTACGGTTTTCGATCGCTGCGACTAGACTGCCTGGGCGACCGTTCACTGCGGGAAAATCGCTCATTGTTTGATTACCGGACATACCCAAAACGATTTCTTAGACGCTCACACACCATGCCGCATTATACTTTTGAAAAATTTGTCTAAATTGTCTGAAGTGCATTTATTTAAGGAAACTACAGAATGTGGTGCCATATGCTTTCAGAGAACACTACCTCAAGCGAGGAAGGATATGGATCTACATTCATCCTAGTATTTACCAACGTTTTTCTACCGGCGTAAGTTAGTATTTGCAATGGAATCGGCTTTCATGATCTTTTGAGTTCACTTCTTCAACCGGTAGGCATATACGTTATTTCGCTACAGTACCATTCGGCTGTGCAAAAAAACTCTGGGTAGGCAAATTTCAACAATGAGTGCTGCGCGATTTCTGCGAACGATTACACTTATATACCTGAGCAACCGAGATTGCATATATATTCTGCTTCAGAAATTAGAGCAAGAACAGGAGAAGATTAGTGCATTGCAAGAACAGTAAATGACATATGAGAAGCATTCCATGCCATATATAGTTCACTCGTTGACCGCACGGACTGGACATCGCTGCAGAGCACGCGCCGGGAGGTAAAACGCTTGCCCCATTACAAATCCGCCATTGTACAAATCGTGCTCTCGCAACATTTTAGCCGCGCCGAGCGGGTCCGCCGCGCTTGAGCAGTCCGTGCGGTCAACGAATCAACGATACTTCGCATGCGTTGTTTTCAGTGATTAACAGTAGGGAATGTTCGATGACCATCCTTCTTTCATGCAGAGAGGAAGCGCTTGTATGAGATGGTATAGTTCTAGATAGGATTCGCATCTGCAAAAAAATACAAAACATCTCACAAAAAAGAAGCAATTCGCTCATCGCTGGTGCAGACCTAGCAACGGCGACATCGCTGACACGTATCCCTGCTGAGAGTATGCCCGTCCAAAAATGGTCCGCGATTCGTCGCAGCGTCTATCTAACACAGACGCGGCGGAACCACACATTTCGAGGCGCGTGCGCTGCGAACTCGGAACATATGTTCGAGTTGGAAATCGCGATGCGACTGGGATCGCGGGAGGTATGCCTTAGGCCTAAAACGTGTATTTCCCGAAAGTGGACTTTCTAGGTGCTGGGGTCGTCATGCATCTCGGGCAAAGGTAATTAGCCCGACTACACTCCTCTACAAGCACCTAGAAATAATGAGAATCCGACTTTTACGGTGAAACAGGACATGTGCGTATAATGAGTCTTCCCAGCTCCGGGCTCATTACCTAATTTCGAATTAGCTACAGTCCATGTCAATTACATACTCCCTTTCGCATTCGAACTACGCATGCGCAACGCAAGGCCCTGCGTGCGGACCTACGATCGATATGGCCAATTTGGCTCAAGCCATACGCGCGCGAACGTCACAGGAAGCTCATTGCGCTTACGGAGAAGGGAGCACGTGATTTACACGGACTTTAGGTTGATGGGTGTGTATGTGTGACGATCCCCGCAGCATCCACTTACTGGAGCAATTTTCTCGCTCCGGTATAAAGGCTACTGCATGACGAAGGCGCAGAAGCGGTATCAGTTGAGCGGGCGCGAGCGTATCTTCACCATTATAAAACCTGCGTCTCATGCGCTTTGCGGCTAGTAAAGCCGCGTTTGCGCCCAAATATATTGCGCCTTTTCTGACATTCCTTCCGTACGAGCCGCGCGAAATTTTGCGTACGAGCGGACTCCTCGGCCGTTCGCCCGCTAAATGCGCTCGGGTGATATGCGAATTAAAAAAAATTTGGAATTGAAACTCCGAACTCCGAAACTCCGAATTGCGCGCCGCTACTGAAATTTAGATATTATGGTACGCCGCTTGTACGTTTGAAGGCACCCGGCCGGTCCTGCTTGTCAATCGCTCGCCGCTCGTACTGATACACTCCGAATTGCGCGCCGCTCGTACTGATACACTCCGAATTGCGCGCGGCTAGTACTAAAATTTAGATATTATGGTACGCCGCTTGTACGTTTGAAGGCACGCGGCCGGTCCTGCTTGTCAATTGCGCGCCGCTCGTGCTGATACACTCCAAATTGTGCGCCGCTAGTACTCAAATCCGGCCCCATCTAAATCTACTTAACCGGCTGCGCGGGCGGTCGCGCGTGCGCCACTGCGCTCGAGACCTAGGGCTGCTCGCTTACTGGCAGCATCGATGTTCGGAGATTGGAATATATGAAAAAGATTCGCTTTAGTACGGTTCGCTCTGTGACAGCTTTACTAGTAGTGAGACGTGTACCTTCTCCAGTCAAAGGTCTTGAAAGACTGTAGCTGGAGGTAGGTAACGTAGCTGGACGTCATTACAATTTGCTACTTTCTTCTTTCATTCAACCTTGTCTCAGATAGGATCAACACAGCAGGAATGATTGTCTTTGTCGAATCTCTACTAGTTCATGCAATTGGGCGCTTTTTCTAGTGGGGATCTGCCAGAATTTCGAATAATGAGCTCTGATTTGTGTCACAGTACTCTTTTATATCGTCTACTCCCAAGAGTATGGCGTGAGGAGCATATTGGCAACGTTTGATATCAACAGGTTTGCATGGCGGTTTTTGATGACTAAACAGTACGAAAAGTTGCTTTAGAGTAGAGATTCAAATAGAGATTCAACAAATTTTTAATGTGTTCGTATGTCTACGAATGCTCCGCCCGCTATATTCATGGGATTCGCCTAAGTTCCATGAAAAGATGTTCATAATATCGTGTAATTTTGCCGAAATGTTCTCTTGCAAGTTGAAATTTCTCTCGCACGTTGAAAGAGAAAGGGGTTTTGGGCAATATTCATTATTTCAGGCTTGCTATTTCCTCACACTTTGGCCTTCAGAGCACCAATTTGGGCGTCCGTTGGGGCTATCATTGGCTGTAGACTAGTAGATTCGTGATCAAAAAGTCGAGATCGTGCTAACTCTATTCGAATGATTCGCTATTTAGCTTTGAGAAAAAAGAAATGAATCTGAGCCTCATAATCTTGAACTCCCCTTCTTTCACCTTGTTGAAAAGAAAGTGAGCAGTTACTTTTAATATCGGTACTCTTCTCACACTGACAAATTCATTTTATTAGTCAAGGAAACGTTATATACTCACGCTAAACACATATGAATGATAGGAGCATACTTGGAGGTGGAAAACGTATCAGGCCATAACAACATCCAAGATTTGTAACCCAAACAAAGCTGCGGAGAAAGGATGCTATCTATCAAGCATAATTACTGCCTGTGACTCTTTCGAGGAACATCCAGTTCCAAACAATTCCAAGTACAAACAATCGCAGTACCGAGTACTTATACATCTTGAAGTTCTGATTCCTTGTCCCTCGAAATTTATGAGCGCCAGGTAACGGATATATAAAAATGAAAAGTAAACTCTGCTGGAAAAGTCTTTGAACTTCTCCTCACTCAGTGGAGACAAACAAGCACATCAAGCACAATGAAAGCTAGCGCATGCGAGCCCTAGGTCCCGACACGCGGTGAGGGCGCCACGCGACCGCTCGCGCAGCCGGTTAAGTAGATTTAGATGGCGCCCTCAAATCCGACTGTGTCGCGCCGCTCATATGCTCAACAGGCGCGGGTCGTAGGAATCGTTATTTGGTGCTATTCGGCTATCCGAGCCCCAAAATTTTTTAGGCTGAGTTCATACTGATTCCCATGTTCTGGAACTGTTCCCGCACTGTGCTGGAACTGTGCCGAACAGTTCCAGAACTATGCTGCATGCGCTGCAGCCGCCCGGCACCGTTTTGAAAGGCAGTGTCCGGGCAAAATTCGATTTTGGGATTTTGTGCTTATACGGGCCTAATCGCTACGCTGAATCCGAAAATGCATATTGTAGAGCGCGAAAATGGCGAAAAACGGCTCTAACACAGGAGGGAAATGAGCAGGTGGGCGGGGTCCTCCCCACTGTGAATTCACGTTTCGAGCTTCCGGAGCGACCTTCTCGCTTCCGTTTTCAAGTCAATCATTCGCACTTGGCCGGTAGCGATGTTAGGACGGCTAACGGAATCGAGAAAATCGCTCCGGGAGCTGGGAGCGTGAAATCGCACTGGGGAAAGCCCCGCCCACCTGCTGATTTCCCTTCTGTGTTAGAGCTCTTTTTCGACGTTTCCGCGCTTTCCAATGTGGATTTTCGGATTCAGCATGGCGAATAGGCCCGTATAAGCACAAAATCTCAAAATCGAGTTTTTGCCCGGACACTGCCTTGAACGACGGGAGTTAGAGAATTTTGACCGTTCTAAACGGTTCTTATAGATTTTCCTTATTTTGGCCTTATTCCTCCACCCCGCTTCTCTTTTTGATTGGCAGAACTTCGAACTCGAAGCGGGGTGGAAGAATGAGCGCTTTTCTGTTCTGCGTATGCGAGAAAATGTGTGTTCTTGTGCTCGTTCATTTTTCTTCGCTCAATTTTTATTCATACCTAATCCATTTGTTCCACGAATCCGCCGCGCAGTTTCCATAGCCATCTGCCACGAATTAGGTAGCAGGAGCAATTCTGAAACTGCATGAATTGGGACTTGTCTCTTGTTTTTGATAATTTTGGGCGTTCTCAGCCCCTTTCGTTTTTCCATATCGTTGCTTCTCCGTTCTCTCTTCTACCCCGCTTCTTCTTGTGATGAAAAAAACTGCGAATTTGAAGCGGGGTTGAGGATTGAACGCTGTTCTGCATCATGTATCAGGAAGGTGGACCTTCTTGCGCTCGTCCATCTTCTCTGCCATTTTTGTTCAGGCCTACTTCATGTGCTCTGGAGAATGTGCTCTGGAGACCTGTCTATGTTAATGTCAATACAGATGCGAAACTACGCAGCGTCTTGCTAGAACATATGAAGTAGGTCTGGACAAAATAGCGGTGAGAGAATGGAACATAGAGCAAAAAAGCGCTCATTTTTTAACTCGCTCCGAGTTCGAAGTTCTGCTGATCAAAAATGGAAACGGGGTGGAGGAATCTGGGCCAAAATGAGGGAAATCTGAGAGAAGAACCGTTGAGAGCGGTCAAAATTCTTCAACTCTCGCCGTTCAAAACGGTGCGGGCGGCTGCAACGCATGCAGCACAGTGAACTGTTCCCGCACAAATCCAGCACAGTGCGAGAACTGTGCGGGAACAGTTCCAGAACATTGGAATCAGTATGAACCCAGCCTTAGTCATGGATTTCGTCCAAACTCGGCCCAGGGGGTTGTCTGACATGTTCATCACGGATATCACATTTTCTCCGCAGGAAAACGCTTCTTTGAGGGGTTACGGTGGGTATACAGTAGGGGGCCAAAATCGTGGATTTCGCTCAAAATCGGTGTAGGGGGGGGGGTTCTTCGACCCGCTGATGCCGAATATCATACTGGTTTTGTATGATAGCGTCATTTTCCGGGGTTACGGTGGGTATACCGTAGGGGGGCCAAGATCGTGTATTTGCCCGAAAATTGGCCCGGGGAGATAATTTAGCATGCTGATCACGAATATCTTGTTTTTAACTCGTGAAGACGTTTTCCCTGTGTGGAGGTGGGCATACGATAGGGCGTACGGTACGCTGCAAATTTTCTTCTCCTGTGTTTGCTTAGGCAAAGCCGTTGCAGAGTGCGTCGCGCGCCGCGATGGTCCTGTATGAAAGGCATGACGGCAGGGCGAGTCGGTCTGCACCAAACACAAAGTTTCAGGCAAATTTGCCATTCTTGCCCCCTACCGTAAACCTACAGTAACTTCATAAAAAGGCCTCATCATGCGAAAAGAGTATGACCTTCCTGATTAGCATGTCGAGTAACCCCCTAGGCCAACTTTCAGCGAAATCCATGATTTTGGCCCCCTAACGTATACCCACCGTAACCGCACAGGGAGGCATCCTTGCGCGCAAAAAGATATTCGTGATCAACATGCCAGATAACCTCCTGAGCCAAGTTTCAGCCGAATCTACGATTTTGGTCCGCTAACGTATACCCACCGTAACCGCACAGAGAGGCGTCCTCGCGCGCAAAAAAACGTGATATTCATGATCAGCATGTCAGATACCCCCCCCCCCTAGGCCAAGTTTCAGCGAATTCCATGACAAAAAGAATTTTGGGGCCAGGATAGCCGAATAGCGCCCGTTATTTTTGCGCGGCGTTCGTCCGAAACAAATGTCAGAGTTCGTCATGTAGTAGCCTTTACATCTTTGCAGCGGGGCTTGCTTACTTACAGACAGTGTCAATTACTGCTCCGTTTTCCGTAATCGCGATCGCACGCCAGGGCTTTGCGCGTGTGGCTTGGGCTTTCGAAGAGCCTACTGATTGCAGGTCCTCACGCAAGGCCCACACGTTACGCGAAAGGGGGTATAGTTGATTCGTTGACCGCACGGACTGAACATCACGGACTGTGGAGCACGCGCCGCGAGGTAAAACGCTTGCCCCATTACAAACCCAGTACAAATTCGTCATTGTACAAGTCGTGCTCTCACGACAATTCAGCCGCACAGCGCGTGGTCCGCAGCGTTTGAGCAGTCCGTGCGGTCAACGATTCGATGATACGTGATTGACACGTACTGTATTTGGGCCTCACTATTAGCATCAAAACCTTGTCACCCTCGGATTTGGGTGGACAGTGCTTTTATTCTAAAATGATAGCATGTTTCTTATTCATTGTATTTGTAATTTTTCGCGATTTTTAGGAAAGTTGGAGGGATCAGAACAGCTGAAAGGGAATTGGCTTCTACTTTACTTTGGATTTACTCACTGTCCTGATATTTGTCCCGACGAAATAGATAAAATGATTGAGGTTGTAACGCTTTACTCACACATTTTGCATTATCCAGTTGCTTAAGGTTGTCAATATTTTGGATTCCAAGCCTGAAAAGGAACGCATACCTATTAAACCCATATTCATTTCCGTGGATCCAGAACGTGACACACCAGCTAGAGTGAAAGAGTACTGTGCAGAGTTTTCGTCAAAGCTGCAAGGCTATACCGGGACTGTCGAGCAGGTTGCTTTTTCCATACTGGGTTTTTGGTCGTGAACATTCTTTGAGTTTGGCAATGTAAGAATTACTCAGTCGCCAATGTGTAAATAGCACTTTCATTTTCAGGTAAATAAAGTTGCAAAAACATTCCGAGTCTACCACAGCCAAGGTCCTCGAACCGGAAAGAACAAAGACGATTACATTGTTGATCACACTGTGATCACCTACCTCATTGACCCTGAGGGCAATTTCCACGATTATTACGGTCAGAACAAAAGTGCAAACGAAATCGCAAACATTATCCAAATGAAAGTGCTGAAGTATCGCGCTAAGCATCGTAAGAATCTACTTGGTTTTTGAGCTCAAGCGTGTGTTTCATTGGTGTTTAGCCCTTTACCTTCTTTATACAGTTTTCTAAACGTTTATGCTGAGACGAGATCTTCAAGGTCCGCTTGAACTCCTTATCTTGTTAAGTCTTTTTCAAATCATATCACTTCCATTTGTTTTTGTAGAGTTCATTTAGATTAGTTTCTACGGGAGAAATTACCGGTTGCTACACAGTCTTTTGTCATTTCGGATGTTTTACCTCACATAGAATGTATTTTTATTATTTCATCTTTCTCCCATTTCACTTGGTCGTCTACTGTTCAGCATTTTGATTTTGAGAAGATTTGTAGCTTGTCCAATAAATTGTTTTTCCGTATGACTTATGTTCGGTAATTGTTGAACAAAAGTACTATTTTTTAGATGTACTAATGCGAGATGTCAGTCTCAAACGTTTTTTTCATTAGGTATGGCTAGTCAACCTCCAACAAAATCCGAGTTTGTGGTTCGCGTGCCGAGGTGATCTCTTCTTCCTTCACATTTTTTTCCATTTTTTCTTCCACTGCTTCCATTTCTTTCACTGAACTTTATCAAGGAAGAGTGACCACAAGCGTTTCTCGGTGCTCAAGTTTAATGGGATGGACCACGTTGATACGTCGAAGTGGACTGTAGAGAGCATGGTTCACATGGAACGCGAAGATAATAAGAGTGTCACACTAAGCAGAGAAAGTGTGCAGGTATAACGCTTTTTCTTCCTGTTGAGGATGGCTAAAACCTATATGTTTGTGTTCTAAATGTTAAGGAGTACGGCGAGGGCTCAGAATATGGTAAAGCAGCTCGAGAAGAAGCGCGCCGAAAGAAGTATGGACGTCAAGCCAAATCATACAAACTAGACAACCAGCCGTGGCATTTGTCGTTTCTGGAAGCAGGTTGTTACTACTAAACGTGATAGCGATAAATTTTTCTTCTCTAGATGGTCGAACACGAAAAATGAAAAGTATACGAGAGGGTGGTGCTGGTGAACATGCCGATTATTGGGTATTCTTGAAGTCTGGTGAGGAGTTCGTAGCTTATAAAGTAAGTTTCGTCACTTTAGTTGTGCTTGAATCTTGTGTCGCTTAGTCCATTGGTTTCGTTGATATATTTTTTGCATGTACCACTACCTCAGCTGATTAAGGTCGACGATTGGCACAAGTTTCTTCCTGCTATCACCCATAAAACGCTGGATATTGATCAGGCAGAGGAAAAGTTCTTAGAGTGAGTATGAGGACCTCCAAGTCACAATGTCGCGTTTCCTGTCGGATTTCAGAAGAAACAAAGTTATGAATCAGTTTGCCCTCAAAGCACAAATCATGAGTCAACTAAAAGCAGGTGAGGAAGACGGCGAACAACCAGAGAAACCAACAAGAACATTAGTAAGTGTTTTGCAAGCAAATAACCGCCGAATTTTCTTACTATAGAAAATCAAAGACGGGTACAGCTCTTCCGACTCAGATGGCTCAGAGGACGATAGAAATGATGACGAAGGCGCTCAAAAGAAAAAAGATAGTGTTGCGAAAAAGAAAAAAGCTCATGAAAAACCCAAGAAAGATAAACGTCAAAGGGTCGAGAATGGTGATGAGATTGCACGTAAGTCTTGCATACAGTCATTTCGTATATGATTTGTATTTTTTAGCCTATGAATCCACTGATGGTGAAGACGAAGGGAGGGAGTACGACTATATGTCTGACAGTGGGTCCGATTCGGAGTTAGTTTGTTTTGAAACTTATTTTTATTATCAATGTTTTCTTCTGTCTCTTCTGTAACGTTACTGACTTTTTATTTTATTTTATTTATTACTTCATTGACATTGCATTCGAATATACTGTGCGTGATATATGAAAAAATATGAAAACTACTACATGAGGAAGGCGCAGAAGCACCACTAGGGAAAGCGGCGCGCGCGTGCCTTCACCACTGTAGATGCTGCGCTTCATGCGGTCTGCGGTTAGAACTGCATTCACGCCCAAAAATTCTCAACAACTCAACAGTGACTCAGTTTGTTCTTTGAATAGTTCAGATGAAGTATACTACTTCTCATCCGCCGTACATCCGCCGTATATCTAACCAGCCAAAGTGCCGATTCGCGGCACTTCGGTATGGCCGTGCGGGGTGGGATCTGAGCAAAAGTTTGCAGCGTTTCTCGAGACTAGAATTTGGTTCATTATGCGCAAGTGTGCTAGTAGTGAGAAGCAAATATGTGAAGTTTCAGTACTGTACATGATGATACTAAAAATATAGAAATAAAGCACAGCTTTTCCTAGCACCCAATTTCGCATATCGAAGGCTTGAGACTACGAAGGCAGCCGTTTGCAAAAAAAGGCATCTATTGAAAGCTGTCAGTGACTGTTCTTCAAAAGAGGTGACGTCAGCTTCGGTGTTTACAATGACAAAATCTGTTGAGGTTGTGCGGCTAGTACAGATAGCAGGCCACCTTTAACACGCCAACTTCTTCATAAAAAATGAGAGTTCCTTTGTCTGGTCCCGCCTGACCGCTTCTGCTTCCCCACTCTCTGCGTTGGTTCGGTCTTCTAACGTTGTCTCTGAATGGAGATAAGGGGCCTGAAAGTCCCTGGCTGGGCGGAGTCTGATATCAGACTCCGCCCACCAGGGACTGCCTCCCGACACGTACTGACATGGTAGTGAGCAGAAGCTCCACGCTGCACACTGCAATGCAACTGCACCCATGCAATTGCAGCTTCTCCCCGCTGGCATGCCGACGAGGACAAGCGATTCGAAACTCGTCCGCGCCCTCAAGACAGAGTCCCCAGGAAACGGGTTTTTTGTGAATTTTGGAGAGTTTGAAGTTCGGAATTGTAATCAGGGCTACGGAAAGGCCCCAGAATGACGTAAACATGGGGGGCCAAATTCTGGGTGGACGCTGCCTTCAAGGGAACATGTTCGAACTCGCTTGTTAGAAAGCTCGAACATCCTTTCTCCAAGAACCTACCAGTAAATCAACCAAAACGCGTTGAAACTCGCATATAAACTTGTTAATCAACGAACACAAAGCGTAGTCGCGTCTCTTGATCAGAAATTGAATGATGTCCTTGTTTTTTTTAAGAAGAAGGTTTGCGCTTCATGACAGATGTTTATGCGTAACTTATGAACTAGACTTTGAGAAGAAGCATTCAAATTGACATTCCAAATTGGGAATTTATTATTTAGTGGCAGAAAATAGAGGAAGACCGCCTCCATACTGCATTGTGGTAGGCTTTGATCTTCTATGGAAATGTAAAGATAAAAGTTTCTCGAAAAATGTTGTTTGACAGAAAATAAATAATTCCAGCGCACTGAATTCACAAAAACACTTCTCAAGACTGACGATGGGGGAAGCCCATTAACTGTGGGTGTCAATTAAAATTTGCCGCATCGCGGCGCTACAGTAACCCGAGCGAGAGGCAGCAGGGCCAAAGGAAATGTTTCAAAGGAAATGTTCAGGGGACACGTTGTTCTAGTGAACAGAAAGCACACATTTCGTGATCAGGAACGTGATAATTTTTGTACTTCCCTCCACTATCTCTTTTTATTTTACAAATTTTGTGGCCAAATTTCCTCTAAACGGTAAAAATTGATAGGAAATGTGAAAACCTTCACAAATGACGGAATAGTATGCCCTGCGAGTGGGCTAACCAAGTTTCCTGCGGATCTGATTACTGCCAGCCTGTCGCGCGCGGCGTCTGCATAATTGACTGTCACAAGTGGGATACACCCCTGACGATGTCATTTAATGCTTATTTAGAATATTTCAGCGTTTCTGTGATGTCAGACAGTGCAACAATAAGAAAATTCTTCCTGTAAAATGGTATTTTTCAGGAATTTTTTGTTTTTGCATTTTCGTGTGAGATCAAAGGCTGAAATGATGTTTGGACTACTGCCATTCAAGGAATTCTTACAGATTGTTTGAGGCTAGGCGATCTTCGGCAATTTTTTGGCACTTAATTGAAAATTGCAAGATTCGAAGCCATTTTTCAAAGCTTCCTTCTTGGTGACTAGCTCAAAGAAAGTTCCGCTGAAACATGAGTCCCGCAAATTCACTATTTTCAGAAACCAAATGAACATACTTAGGTTTACTGTTTGATAAGTTGTTAAATATTGTTCAAGGTAGTAGGAACTTCTGTGTCGACCAAGAATGTGCTTGTTTATCATAACATCGAATACATCTAGCTTGGAGTTGTTAATCGCGATACCACGAACTCGCGAGACTCACGATGAGTCTTAGGGCCGCATGCACTAACATCCTCGCGGGGAGGGGATCGCAGCTTAAAAGAAAGCTTTATATTTCGAAACTCCAGATACCTGGATTTCACATTGTGTACCCATCCGTAAGTATTCCTACTATCCTTCACTATGAACATGTTGAAGAGGAGCAAGAAGCTGTACGAACCGCATTTTCCAGCTTTTGTATGATCCCTGATGATCCCCGGCGCTTTTCTTTAAAGTCATTTTTCTTTCTCCGATGTTAACGAAAACATTCTTGTCATTCTTGTCCCTGCGTTGACAGTGAGCGGCCGGCCCGTAATCCACCTCTGCCTATCAATCCCTCAATCCCTATTATTCTCGCTTTTTGGGCCGTTTATTCTGCTTTCATCCGTGTTCCTTCGTCTGCAGCCCTGCTTTCCCTCGTCCAGTTTTCCACTGTCCCGGAAAACCACCTTCATCTGTATTCTGTTATTCCACTGATACTTTCTGAGTCGCTGTCCCCCTGATTATTGATCTGGCTGTCAGTTGATCTATGGCGTCCCCATTTCGCTCCTCATCGGTACCAGTAAAGCGTGGGCGATTTGAAGCCAGCTCTCCCCTTCAATCCACTTCACCGACTGCGGAGCGACTCAAGGGAATTCTGTCCGAGGAGGCGATACCGGATTATTTGAAGCTGATGATTGAAATCCTTCTTGATACCAAGAAGGAGATCGCAGAACTTAATCGAAGAATGTGCGGATTGATCAAAGAAAATGAGCAGCTCAAAAAGGAGAACAGTGAGTTAAAATCTAAGGATATTTCTTCTGTCTCTGAAACTGACTTGGAAATGAAAAGATCAGTTGTTGTTGCCGGTGTGCCTGAATCTCAAAGCCCCACTTCTACCCAAAATGCTCTTCATGATTTCAATTGTGTTGTTTCATTATTGGACTTCCTCAATGTTGAATGCCTTCCTTGTTCTGTCTACCGCATGGGTAGGAAGACCTCTTTTAGACCAAGACTTTTAAAGGTTGTTTTACCTGCCAGTGTGTTTCAAAGACAACTGATATCACGTGCACCCAGGCTGAGGTTTTTCCCTAGCAAGGGAGTTTACGTTCGTCCCTCGTTACCGAGGGAGGTGCGGGCTCGCATTAGGGAAGAGCGCCAGTCTAAGAATTCTGGTACAGCCGTTAATGAGCATTCTGATTTGCATCCTCCGGATACTCTGATATCTCAGCCGTCTCATGATGTCGATTCTGTTCCTATGGTTTCTTCTCGTGTTAGAACTTCGGAAAACTGAGTTCTCATCCTCGGTTTTCCCGTTTTGTCTGCTGTTTAGCTAATGTAAGGTCGTTGATCAGTAACGCGGATGATTTGATTCTAAAAATCTGTAATGAGCGTCTTGATCTTATTTTCTTGACTGAAACATGGCTCAAGCCTAGGAATGAGCTTTCTTCTCTATTAGGCGTAGTTTCTTCAAACTATGCTAGCTTCAGATGCGACAGGAGACGTCGTAGAGGCGGCGGGGTAGTTTTATTGTTCCGAAAAACTTTGCCTATTCAAGTAGTTTTCTCCGAATCAATTCCTGGATCTCACGAGATCCTGGTTTGTGACCTATCACTCTCGATTCATACTATACGTTTCATTTTAGTCTATAAAGTGCCCAATTGCAGTGCCTCTGACTTTTTGCGTCTTGTCAAGGCACTTAGTGACTTTACGGCTTTTGATGGGCCTACAGTTCTGTTGGGCGACTTCAACCTCCCACGAATTGATTTTTCTCAAGATACTCCTCACTGGTCAACCCAACCCAGTTCTTCTAGATCATTTATTGATTATGTCACCACTCATGGGTTCCGCCAACTCGTCACAGATCCAACAAGGAGAGAATCTATTTTTGATTTTGTCTTTTGTAATTGCCCCACCCTAGTATGTGACACAGTGACCTCCCCTCCTATCGGTGCCAGTGACCATTCTTCGGTCAATTTTTCACTTAACGTGCCTTATACCTCAGCCCCAGCTACGTTCATCAAAGATTACAAAAGCGCCAATTACGTAGCAGTGAGAGAATACCTTTCTAGTATTGATTGGTTGGGTTGTTTCATGCCTTTGTCTTCCGTTAACGAAATGTATGAACTTTTCATTGCCATTTTGCACCATGCTTCCGAATTGTTTGTGCCCTTGCGCAAAGTTTTGAAAAATCAATCTAGCTTGCCAAATTATCTGGTAAAAATGATTGTGAAGCGTGATCGTCTTTGGAATCTGGCCGTTGCTAGTGGAGATGCTGAAGCTTGGAGCGCATTCAGAAATTTTAATAAGAAAATTATGAAAGCCTCAAATAAGTACCATGTTCACCTTGAGAAGAAGCTGACCTTAACCAACAATTCCAATGGGCTTTTTCGCTACATAAAAACGCATATCAAAGATAATCTTGGTTCTTATCCTTTGAAAGATAGCTCAGGCAATCCCCTGTCTCGAAATTCAGATAAGGTATCTCTATTGGCTGGTGAATTTCAAAAAGCCTATAGCAGTACTTTGTCTCCTAGTTCTTGCTGTTCCCCCTTGTATCCGGAAATGGATAAAACTCTTTGGTTTCATAGAGAGAAAATTGTCAGCATCCTTTCTAAATATCCAGACTCCTTTACAGTTACTCCTGATGGAGTACCTCTGTACTTTATCAAAAGGGTGCTGCCTGAAATTGGTTTTGCGCTTGAGTTCCTCTTCAATCTTTCTTACATGAGAGGAGAGGTTCCAAACAGGTGGAAACATTCGATAGTAACCCCAATTCCTAAAAAGCCACCCTACGACAGCCCCAAAAATTATCGCCCCATAAGCATAATGTCTATCTTCTCCCGAACCTTTGAAAAAATACTCAAAGATCAGATAGTTATGCACCTTGAAAAATATTCTATCATCCCTACTTGTCAGCATGGCTTCTGTAAAAGTAGATCAGTGGAGACAGCCGAGTTGGTGGCTATGAATGATTGGACGTTCGCAATTGATAGGAGTTATCAAACTGATGTCATATTTTTGGATTTTTCCAAAGCTTTTGACAAGGTTCCAACTTCAAAATTGCTGTCTAAACTTAAAGGCAGTGTCTCACCAAAGTTGAGGTCGCGCGGATCTTCATACATTCTCAATAGGGACCTTTAGATAGGCCATTGCAACAAGTCCCACTCAATTTGACCCCTTCCACGGTGAGAAAAAATAGCTCAAAGTGGTACGCGGAGAGCGAGTTGGTACGCGCGGATGACTCCTTCGGTCTCCCCCCTTACACGTTCGAACATGTCCCTCCACTTGGCATCCACCTCCCCTGTGTTGCTGCCACTGTGGCTGAGGCTGAAGTCGGAAGGTACAACTCGTCCACGTTGCTTCCGCGAGGCCTCCAGGAAACGGGGTTTTTGGGAACTTCGTGCGATTTTGAGCCCATACAGTGCTAGACAGGGTCCGACAGGCTTGCAAAATGCAAAAATCTCGGCAACTAAATTTTGGTGAGACACTGCCTTTAAGCTATTAGGTGTACATAATTTTGCATATACATGGATCGAAAATTTTCTGAGTGGCCGAACGTTTCAAGTTCATATCGGGAATGATTATTCAAAGTCTTATTCTATTTCCAGTGGTGTTCCACAAGGTGGCGTATTGTCACCTATTCTCTTTCTTATCTATACTTTTGATTTGCCTAGCATTGTCGAAGCTGAGGGCTGCAAATGTGTGATGTATGCAGATGATGTAAAAGTATACAAAATTATACGCAGCTCTTCTGACATGGAGTCATTGCAGTCTTGTATCAACTCGGTTTCTCGTTGGTCTAAGGAATTTGAACTGCCTTTAGCCCCACACAAAACCAAAGTTATGTCATTGGGTGGCAAGACAATAGATTCATCTTATAAAATTGATGGAACCGCTCTGATCAAAGTTACTGAAATCAAAGATTTGGGCTTTACCTTCAATGATAAGCTTCAGTTCACCGGCCACTACAGCGCAATTGTTTCCAAAGCCGTTTCCCGAACGTACAATTTGTTCAAGGCACTTCGTACTTCAAACCCCAACGTCTTAGTTAGAGCTTACAAAATGTATATACGACCCATGGTTGAATTTGGCACCGCTGTTACTTCACCGCATAAGGTCCGTGATATTGCTGCCATTGAAGGTGTCCAGAACAATTTTACTCGAAAGGTGTTCTTGAGAATGTTAGGTCCCAACTATTCTCTCATACCAGTGAGCCAAGAACGTGCTAAATTGTTATCTCTTCCTAGCTTAGCGCTTAGAAGGAAGAAGTTCGATCTTTCTATGGCTTTGAAGATCTTAACTGGTAGATGTAAGATTGGTTCAACCAGGTTTTTTGACGTTTATCCTTCAAGGACCAGAGGGGGTGCGTTGAAACTCAGAGCCCCAAAAGCTAAAACACTTGTAAGATCAAAGTTTTTCGCTGCAAGAATACTGCCTGACTTAAATAAATTGCTAACCCAAGACGCTTTTCAAACTACATTGGCCCAAGTCTTTACACTTGCAAGTCATCCCACTTCCTGATCACTGATTGATTGCATTTGTTTATCACTTGTTTTCATTTTGTTTGTTTGTTTGTTATTGCTTTTCCTCTCTTTACTTTATTGTTCATTTTTCTACCTCTGGTTCGTTGGTCTCTTGATTTTCAGGTTATTTCTTGTTCATACTATTAACATGCGTGTGTGAGCACGTTTCAATAAATAAATAAATAAATAAAAACCTTCCAAAGTTGTACTGAACATCTAACACATTAGTGCTAAGCATGTTGCTGATAAGAACAAATGAAGTTTTGAAGTCATGAAATTTTCGATGATCCATAGGTCGAAATTTGAGGTTTATCGAAAAATTCGACTTTTCAAAAACTCATTTGTTCTCATCAGCAACATGCTTAGCACTGTTGTGTTAGATGTTCAGTACAACTTTGGAAGGTTTTCGTTAACTTCGGAGAAAGAAAAATGACTTTAAAGAAAAGCGCCGGGGATCATCAGGGATCATACAAAAGCTGGGAAATGCGGTTCGTACACCTTCTCGCTCCTCTTCAACATGTTCATAGTGAAGGGTAGTAGGAATACTTACGGATAGGTACACAGCGTGAAATCCAGATATCAGGAGCTTCAGAATATGAAGCTTTCTTTTGAGCTGCGATCCCCTCCCCGCGAGGATGTTAGTGCATGCGGCCCTTAGAGTTTTTTGACGATGAGGACAGATACGCAGTTAGGATCACAAACGCATGAGTCATCCTCCGCTTTATTATGTAGAGATACTTACCTGCCCTTCAACCAATCTTTCTGGACCTTGTTGAGCAGATGTCTTCTTTTTTTTTTTTTGAGGGAAGCCCACTTTACCTTCTACCAATGACTTCTATCCCAAAGTTTCTGCTAACGGTCGCACCTGGATTGGTGCTGGGTTATTCCCTATAATTTTTTGCGCGAAGTGCGTGAAGAGCAGCGCATGCTTTCCCAGTTCTGCTTTGAAGTCGAATGCCGTACTGTAAAGGCTCAGAAGCCGAAGCCTGCACGCCGCCCTGGCGGCACTTTCAGCATAGTAAAATCGTTGGTAAGAAAGTTTTCTTGGCAGTCAATCGTTTTGCGACGCAGTGTTTCCAGCTGCGGGCCTGCATACCCTTATCGTCTTTTTTTTTTATTGAAGCCGCTAGACAGCTATTTTTCCATCCACCTGTATTTGTATTTGTAGTGAAGATGTCTAACCGTCTACACTGCGCCGTTTTAACATACCTCGACAATCGTAGAAGAGCCAAGTAGGGAGGAGTGAAAAGACACTCAATAGTTGGCTCTAGGCGCACACGCTGCAGTACTTCAATCCTTTCTTTTCAATTTATCACAAGGCGAGCAACAGAAAAAATGAGTGTATTCGATTCAAAACTTCATGATTAATAATTGACATATCACAATTCATTGACATTTTTCAAAGCTTCTTCAATGTCTTCCTTTGTGCATTCTCTTGCTGCACTTTGCCTTTCGTGTAAGTCTGTTTGATTCGAAAGATGCCTTTTGTCACCAAAATACTCGCACTTCATACTACCCGCTTCGGTAATGACTTTTCCTGGAAAGTGGAGTTAGCGCATTGCTCAAGCTTCTAATGGGCTACCTATAGTGCATTGTCCAACATATTTCCATGACCCGCATATTGCTAAATGGCACGCGGCTGTGGGGCTACCATGTGAAATGAACAGTATATTACCTGCAATTGTATTTTTCAATAATAATAGTAATAATGTCAATAATAATTAAATCTATAGGTTTCAAGTTTCTCTTCAGATACAGTGTTTCATTCGAAAAAAAAAACAGTTACAAGTTTTACCTGTGGGATATCTAGCCAAGAGTGTACGTAACGTCTTGATCACCCTAGGGATGCATCCAGCGTCTCCCCCTATTTCTGGTGGCAATACGCTATATACCGGTTCATAGGTGTCATCCACACTCGGAATCATTTTCCTAGGATAGTACTGTCTTAGGCACCCGCCATACTTGATCCTCTTGATCCACTTGATCCGCTTCGTGCAAAACGCGCGTCACTAATTTGCTTGGCTCGCGTACAGTGTAATTGCCGTAACCATACAAAATTCCTTTTTACCTACGTGGCGCCAAATGGCAAACTGCTGTGTGCGCGCGTTTTGCGGGAAGCGGATCAAGTATGGCGAGTGTCTTACAGTATATCGTTCAGTCATTCGTTACTCAATATTCGATTTGCACAACATGCGCGCTACTTAGCGACTTTTAAGATTGGAACCTACTAATTCTCACCTACTGATTCTCTTCGTTTCCTCGTTTTTTCATCGGATTGCATCACTTATTGTATCATGACTCCGAGATTCTTGCGAAGGCGGAGTAATGCCAACTCAAAGCGTGGCGATTTTCGATAGCGAGAGGGTACGGAAAGCAGTGATTTAACGTGGAAATCACAAGTCTATCCTTGTAATCAGGGTAAGTCCGCAGCCGCCCACCTCACCACATCTGGGAGCCGATCATACAAATTTTTACAGATTGTTACACTGGAGAAGGTTTTACTGAACTAGTAAGGGTGTCGTCGGTTGCCACGCATAGTGTGCAGACTCACATACTGAGTTACAAATGACTCGAGGAAAGTCTAATCATCATTTCTTACTTTATCTCCTCCATTGTTGGCCGTCCCGGCGGTGACATACATACATTAAGTGATTCACCCAGGCCTGGTTCAATCCACACCGGAGGCGAAATTTTCTTAGCTGCCAGTATTCCGGTAGCTGTTTCTAAGCAACGGGTAAATGGTGAGCAGATCACGTAGTCGATAGGTTCTTGAGCCAGAGCTGTTCCAACTTCGCGCGCCTGTTGATGTCCTCGGGGACTAAATGGGATCTTATAACATTTTTGTATACCAGCAGAATAAACTGACCTGAGCGGTGGGTCATCCCATCGCTTCGCCGTCTTTTTCCACGATTTGTCTACATTATCAACTCGCTCACCATGCCGAACGAACCAGAGTATTCGACTATGGTGTTTCATGCCTGAAATGCTTTATCTTTGATAGCGTTGTCTCAACAAAGACGTTGAAAGGGGCCAACTCAGAGAACGGGCCAGATGTCCAGCAATGGTGGGCAACAGTGGAAGGGTTGTGTCGGGGTAGGTTACGTAGCTCCACGAAGTCATCGTGCACGTGATACTGGAAACCTTTTGCAAGAGACTGGTGCTTACTCTTTGATGCTTTCGAATGACTTTTACGAGTGAGCGGTGAAAACAAATGGAGAAGCTCTATGTCTACAAGCATTACTATATCGGGCCTTCTTTATCTAAACTATCTATCTACAGTAAATAACTTATCACACTACAGAAATAAGTTGTTAGTGTAAGGATATCAGCACTCTGGTGTGTATCAGTCCATCTGGGAAAGATTCTACATGGCACGCTAGAGTCATACTAGTTTTGGAGATAGTTTGTGCTATTCCTCTTCTTTTTTGGGTTTTCTGATTGTACCGTGGTTCTGCACAAATGCAATAGGCTTTGCTGTTGCTGAGTTTGGACTCAAAGATACACCATGAGAGTTCAATCATAACAAAACTACAAAACTATGAATCCAGTACAACTTTTTCTAAATTTTATAGTAGGTCACTTGCATTATAGAAACATCACAAACTGGAACATTACTAGAATCCGCATACTCAGACACTCGCTGCGGCAGCGCGCGCGCCATAATGGCGTTGCAGTGGAACGGCGCGCTCTAGTTGAGGCTGGAGTGCGAGCGGCGCCATAATGGCGCTGCAGTGCGAGCGGCGCGCTCTAGCTGAAACTTCAGCGCGAGCGGCTTCATCCACTGATGCTAGATACCCTGCCGACGGTGCGCCGTCATTCGCGGCTGGCGAGCGCCGTACCATATTACGGCCGGCGGGGGCCTATATGCAATTTCGCGGTGAAACCATATTTGAAATCTCTCAACAACCTCGGCGTTGGAGCGCGAAAAAGACAGGAATATTTTTCGCTTTTCTCTTTTTCTTTAGTTTTGTTAGGCTTCATACATACCTGACGATGGGTGGCTATAGCTGACGATGCGTCGCTGCTAGCAGCAACGCTTTTTATGCGTATCGATTGCAGCCAAGCGACGCTGCTGCTCCTACTCAGACACTCGCTGCGGCGGCGGGCGCGTCATAATAGCGCTACAGGGCGAGCGGCGTGCCCTATTTGAGGCTGCCGTGCGAGCGGCGCGCTTTAATTGAAGCTGCAGTGCGAGCGGCGCGCCATAGTTGAGGCTGCAGTGCGATCGGCGCGCCATCATTCGCAGCCAGCGAGCGGCGCGCCATATTACGGCCGCCGGCGCGCCTACTCGACACTCGGCGCGGCGGCGCGCGCGCCATTACAGCACTGTATTGCGAACGGCGCGCCCTAGTTGAGAGGGGAGACGGTCAAGAGGCGCGATTTCTCTGGCTGTCACCAACTCAAAACTTCAGTTTAGTGCTATGCGAATGTTCAAAAAATACCGGATAAAGTGCGTCAGCTTACTCTCCGCCTGAGGTTACCACTTGCCGAGTTTGGTGGCTTTTGCTGGAAAACGGAACGAAATATTTACGAATTTGTTCTTAGCTGCATTTTTAAGGGTTTTTGACCTTCAAAACTGATGTTTTGAATCGATTCCAAGGTATTAAGATTGAAAAACCCATGCCAATATCTAATATATCCCCTTCTAAATTTCAAATACTTTTGGAATGTTATAAAACACTTATTATGCCCTATTCGCTGTCTATCTGTCATTGAAAATCGCGCCTCTTGACATACACCCAGTTGAGAGTGCGAGCGGCGCGCAATTTATCAGTGGGCCGCGTGCCATGATATTTTCCGCATTCCCACACGCTATAAGCACAAGCGATACCTGCGTGAAGTACGACGCAGTGTTTTGGGTGCTTTATCGCTAATTCATTGAGGTTATCGCTGTTTCGCAATGGAGTTGTCTCATTAACACAAGTGGGATTCTTCTAGTTCTTCCACTGAGAGTCAGTCTTCATAAGCACTGCGAGCAGGTGCCGAGTTTGAATTCAAATTTGAAAATTTGAATTCTTGATTTTTTGAAATTTGAATTTTCAAATTCAAGGTTTGGAAACTTCCAAGTTCTTATTTGAAACTGAAGCCATTGCTTGCCTGAAACTGAGGGTTGTCAACAGGTCTACTACAGATTCACCGTGATTCGCAGTGCTTCAAATGCGAATGGCAATTTTCATACCGTGCGAGAGGCGTGCCATTATCGTGTGGCGCGCGTCCCATCTACTCACGGCGCGGGTACCATTTACTCGCGGCGCGCGTTCCAATTACTCGCGGCACGCGCGCCATTTGACGGCCAGCGGCGGGGGGCATGAGGGGCCGCACGCATAAGGCGCGCGCGCCGCCGCAGCGAGTGTCTGAGTAGCTGCTGCAGCCATCGCGAAACAGACCCGCTATAGCTAGCGATGCTGCGCTGCTTCTAGCTGCTCCCAGCTGCTCGTTGCTGCTCCTCGCTGCTACGCGATATGAAGCTCACTTTTTGTGAGCTTTTCTCAGCTGCTCCATGCTGCTATCAGCTGATTTCGCTCGGATTTGCTTCTATTTACCATTTTTTTGTGTTTCCAAAGAATTACCAGAGCATTTCTTGCGATAAGTGCGAACTATGACATTTTGCGAGACTATTAAAAGGGCAAATGCATAGGTGAACAAATCAATCTGAACGAGATAAACTCTACAAGACCTCTGGAATCAAAATAGAATATGAATAGAGTACGATGAACAGCTAGAGGCAGATATTTATCAAGGAAGATAGTGGGATGTCGCTAGCCCACTTATGCAATCTGGCAGGGAATAGACATATTTTGATTGTTGCCTCAAGCACACGTAAAGGTCATGTGTGACATTCAAATTAATCTGTCAAACTATCTCAATTTCTTTAGTAAATGCAGCATTTGTGCGCGTGCTTATTACAAACAAAATTTTGTATTGATAGTAGTGTGCTATATTTCATAATTCATGGATTCCAGCGATGAGATTCATGAATTCATTTCACCGTTAATCTAGATCAGCTGGGAGGGCTGATAATACTTTGCTGCTGCACCTAAAATGCACCCATGCGCAGCAGCTTCAAGCAGCTAGAAGCAGCGGAGACAGCAGCGATTCGCCAATACCCGCTATACCTCCATCGTCAGGTATGTATGAAGCCTTGCACTCAGGGCTCGGCACGAGGTAGCTAGATGAAAATGCGAAAAACGAAGTCCCCCTTGACTTTTGGGTATTTTTACGAAGTCCCCTTTGACCCCCCCACCATTTTCCCTAAAAATCCTCCAAAAAACGAAACGTCGACTAAAAAAAAACGTCGCCAAATCGCCAATTTTGCGTGTGTCTTCGGTCACAAAAACGAAACCCCCTTTGCTTTTCATCCCAAAAACGATACCCAGCTTGCTTGTAAGCCACCTCGTGCCGAGCCCTGCTTGCACTTGAAGAATAATGATAACTTTTTTCAAAGAAATCTCCTTAAGATCATAGGAGGGTTGTAGCTTTTCGTATATAAAGTCACACACGCACAATTTCTGAATTTTTTGAAAAAGTTTTGAGTCACTTTTGGCGTAGTCACAAGTTGCGTCATTGAAAAACTTAAACTTTTGAACTCATTTTAATAGCACGGATGCTGCCGGATACATCAGACTGGGCAGCTTGCATAGTGTTATGGATTATGACTCATGATGTCATAGGCGTTGTATGTGTTCAGTAAGTATCCTCGTGATTATATAAGGAGATGTTGTTGGATATCTCCGTATCTGCCAAGTGTTCTATATTTTTTGTAACTTGCATCCTCGCGAAAACTTGGACTTCGAGGAAGTTGCTTCAAAATATTTTGAGTTGCAGTCAGTGCTGAGAAATAAATCTGAAGAGACTTTATTGGTTATGTTTCCATATGTTTCCATATCACTTCGAAAAAATTGGCTAGTGCTGTTTCCGCTCAGATCATATCTGACAATGCGGTAATTGTTTTGCAAATCTTTCTAAGCTTAACTTTGTTTTCAGCAGGTTTTGAATCAGTATACATTTTCTTTACAAAACGAATTTCCTGTTATTTTTTGACATCACCGTGGAATGCATATTACCATTACTATTATTACATAATACCATTGGTATCATTACTGTTTCTTTTTCGTTTCCTTCCTAAAACTCGAAACAAATTGCTGGAGAACATTATCACTAATCCTCTCTTTTCCTCAGTTTGTTCCCTTCTTTCTCGCAGTAAAAAAAAGTGTTTTGAGAAGCAAGTCACGGGACAAAATTCACTTTTCAAATAGAGTAAGAAGCAACAGCATTTTTTGCTTCAGTTCTACAAAAAAAATGATTCAGTTGGTCTTCAAAACACCTTTAGCCAATTACAGCAGCATCGATTAGGTCTCATCGAATTTTTAGAAGTAAATGGCCATAAATCAATCATTGAGTTTTCAAGTATCCATGAATTTTCCCCGTAGCTACTCAGAGATGCTGTTGGACCATTACATAGCCTTTTTTGCTCAGATGTGAAATATGCAGAAATGTGGAGAAAAAGAGAAAAGTGTATTCTTAGATCTAAACTGACATTAGGTGACGACTGTTTCAAAATACGGTGATATTCAGGCAGATCGTACATCTACTTTTTGATGGGGAAAGCACATCAACATCACGCCGCAATTCATCAATAAATTGTTATTTGATCGTGTGCAACGTCTGGCAGTGATATTTAAAGAGCGAGACTACAATGTGATGTCTATATGTGTTGCTTTTGCAGAGTTTAATGCGAAACATGAATTGCAGAAAATCCTTTCACAGAACCTTATAATACATTGTCAAAAAAGTTGATGTGAGCAGATTCTGCAGGTATATGAAAAAAAGGCGTCTTGAAGTCCGAAAACTTTGAGAACAAAGCATCATGACGGAATGTCTTATTTGTGCAATAGTCCTGATCTGGCATCATAAAACAGTGGGTTCAGTGGAAATGGATGAGCGCGAATGCGCTGAGCGACCAAATGTGACATCGATTTTCTAGTAGGTGACGTAAGCTAGGACAAATGCGGGTGAGAAAGGCTCAAAGGTCATTTTCCGACAGAAATCGAGTCCGCCTGGAGCCGTTTCGGGTCCCAGATGCATCGTGATTGTGAAGAATGAGTGAAAAACAACAGAGCTGTGACAGTTGCGTTGTGGCAGACGAGTGGATTCGTCGTGACGTAACGAAGTTTATTGCTTAGAACAGTGATTTCAGAGGGAGCTATTTTGAAAAAGGGGTTGCGGGAAACTTTGTTGGGCTTAAGTAAATCCATCAAAAGTGGAACTGCGATGCTTGTGGATCGAATACTTATCTGCGATGACGAAAGTTAAGGCAGACATTGATTCACGCGCTGAATGTGCTTGATTTCACGTGAATTTCATTCTCTGTTTTCCATGTGCTAAATAAAATTTTCATCAATCTTGTTTGCTTCTCAGGAATTTCTGCAACATAATCTCCAAATGCGCTCTCCAAAACGAAAAGATTTTCTTTCATCAAGTTTTTATTTCAGTCGCGAAGAGGTTCCTGGAGATGAAAAAATTGAAAAACAGTTGGTTGGCGTTGGCGATGAAGAAGGGTTGAAGAAAATGATAGACTCGGAAGAGGAATCAGATAGCGATGAGGAAGATCTTAGTGAGCTAAACATTTGTTGAATTTATCTGTCTAATTATTCATCTATCTATTTATTAATGCATTCATTGGTGCCCCCAAAGAAAGTGGCAGAAAATAATGGAATAGCAAGGAATTAAGATAAAAATCATGTTTCAGTTATTTATATCACCAACCACTTTATAATTTTTGCTTATGACGTCGTTTCAGCCAAGAAACTTTTGAATAATGATGGCGAAAGGAAGAAAGAGTTGCTGGATATAGAGGAAAGAGGTAAGCGCTGAAATAGTAGTCTTTTTCTTTGTTAAAGGTAGAAGCTTAGCTTTGGAGCAACTGTTGGTTTACTCTAATCTCCTTTCGCAGGTGTACTTGTGACCGCGTTACAGTTTACATTTGTATTTTGTGCTTGTTCATAATCAACTTTTGGTTGTCTTACAGACTCTTCCGGGTCCGATACTGATGATCCAGACAAAGAAAAAATTGATTCCGTTGTTTTCATGCCGGTAATTTTTCTGCTCAATGATGAGCGTTCTATGTATAGCCAGTTGACTGCTATTATAGAAGAAGGAAGTTCCTAACGGAGGTGAACCGAGCAGTAGTGGTTTATCCAAAAAACGCTCAGCGGAGACAGATTCGTCCGGAGGAGACGCTGCAAATGATGCGAAACGGCCAAAGATCGAATCACCTCAGTGAGTGATTAGATACTCTTATTTCTTGCTTCCCAACCCAAATTTTTTTCAGCGTGCCTGAAGGCTTGAATGAGGAAACTGTGAGGAAATACCTACGTCGCAAACCACATACTACAAAGGAATTGCTGGCCAAGATCAAACAAAAGTGTGGTGACATGACAAAAGCGGAAATTGTCACGAAATTGGCTGCTATACTTAAGGTGATTATCATAACTGAAACTTTTCTGGCATCATTTAGTTTTTCACCCTTTGATTGTAATTTTGAAATTGATCATTTAGGCTATTGAACCTCATCAATTCAAGCAGAAACAAGGCAAAAAAGATGTGTTGTTCTTTTCACTCACTAACACACTGGCTTGAATATATCTTCGGTCCGTTCGAACTGCTCCACTTTTCGACAGTGCAGCTAATGGCTCATAAACCAGCATCCATAGTTTTGTGACTATTGCTTTTTCGCACTTTTCATGATTGTGCAGTTTTAATAGTCCTTACGGCATTAAAGTGATTGATTTTATGTAATGTTCATTCTCAAGATCTTTGCCAGCATCGTTAACAGGATCTGATTTCATTTATTTTATGAAAAAGGTCATTCTTTCATGGCTACTTTTTTTGCAGACCATAGGGACTAAAGCGCATTTTACTGAGATGTAGTCAGTTAATGTCATTGTTGTCCTTTTGTATGTACTTCCAATTTTTCTTTTAGTAGTAGGGTCAGCTGAGATTAGGATACTCGGAAACGCATGCACATTTTGTTTGACAAGCCCGAATACCTTCTCTTGGTACAAATTTCAAGTTTAGGTTGCTCGAAAGGCTGCAAACGTTCTCGACTCTAATCTCAGCGGATGATTTGTATAAACTGGTAGAATTGACAGTATTAGTGTTGTTGCACCACTGACTATGATGGCTAGCTACTAAGCTCAAAGTGTAATGGCTAACCGGTTTTATGGTATAGCCTGTAGCGGAGCTCGGTGATATCCATACCTTCGAAAGTGTGCGTTTGTATGCCACCCAAAAGTGAAGGTTGTTTTGAGAAATCAGAGGAGGAAAAAGATGGAAAACAAATGGAAAAAACAGGGGAATCAAAAATCGGATGAAAACGCGCTTGTTCATGTGTGATTATTTCAAAAACAACTGTGTTCCAGAAGTGATGATTATCAAAAGGAAGATAAATGGGTAAAGAACTAGTTATGAAAACGCAAACTTTGGTTTTTACTGAGTCGAGCTACACGTCAAAAGCGAAGCTAGTTCTTGATGCGCTTCGGATTTTTGGCCCCTTTTCGTATCTGTTTCTGGCGACGTTGTCGTCTTTGTTCTGCTCATAATTCTGAGCAAGGTGCCCCTAAGCATGAAAGCAATGGTCACTTAATAACTCTAATAAAGAGTCATGAACAAAAACGCACTTTTTGAGGCTTTTTACTAAATATCTCATCACAATCGAGAAAGTGAGCTCTGCGTTATAGACAGGAGCAAGGTCTATCAAATGCACCAAAAAACCCGAAAACCGCGGCAAAAAAACTAAAACGGAGAAGAAACCAGAGATTTTTGAAAACACGTTTTTCTGCCATATTTCTTTCACAATTCAAAAAAGGGGTTTCAAATTGATGTCAGCGTAAAAGTGGAGGTTAAGAGCTTCTATATAATATACAATTTGCTAGAATTGGGTTCAAGACGATGAAGAAAAAACGCCAGAGCCAAATGCTACGTGCCCCGTGTTTGAGGTAGCGAGGTAGCGCACAATCCGCGGAGACGCTGACGTGCAGAGGAGAAAGACCAGAGCCGATGGGGCGTTTGGCTCTGCTCGTGGATCTCTGCGGGGTCTTAGGCTGGGTTCATAGTGATTTCTATGTTCCGGAACTGTTCCCGCACTGTGCTGGAACTGTTCCAGCACTGCATGCGCTGCAGCCGCGCCGCGCGCGTTTTGACGGCGGAAGTTGGAGAATTTTGACCGTTTTCAACGGTTTTCCTTCCAGATTTCTGTCATTCTGGCCTTATTCTTTTACCCCGTTTCCCTTTTTGATCAGCAGAACTTCGAATTCGAAGCGGGGTTGAAAAATGAGCGCTTCTCTGCTTTGCATATGCGACAAAACGTGTGTTCTTGTGCTCGTCCATTTTCTCTTCGCTTTATTTCTACTCATACCTATTCCATATGTTCCAGGAAGCTGCTGCGTATTTTCCGTAGCCATCTGCCATAAATTAGGGAGTGCGAACAATTCTGAAATTGCATAAATTGGGACTTTTCTCTTGTTTTATGAGTTTCGTTCTTGGGCATTTTCAGCTCCTTTTCTTTTTTCATATCTATGCTTCTCCGTTCTTTCTTCTACCTCGCTTCTCCTTGTGATAAGAAAAGCTATGAACTTGGAGCGTGGTTGTGGATTAAACGCTATTCTGTTGTATCCGGGCAGGTTGGTCTTCACACGCTCGTCCATTTTCTCTTCCATTTTTGCTCAGGCCTACTTCATGTGTTCTAGAAACCTGTCTATGTTCCTCTTATACAGATGCGAGACTACGCAGCGCCTTCCTAGAACACATGAAGTAGGTCTGAACAAAAACAGCGAAGAGAGAATGGACGAGCGCACGAAGGCCCATCTTCTTGGAATCTTTTTGGAACGCGTGCGGCGCGGCTGCAGCGCATGCAGCACAATTCCGGAACAGTTCCAGCACAGCGCGGGGACTGTGCGGGAACAGTTCCGAAACATGGGAATCAGTAGAACCCAGCCTTAACGAAACTCTGCAACATTATACATCTTTCTGTTCGTCATGACACGATTAGGAGCAGCGACACCGTCGCAAGCGTTGAAAATCATCTCTTGACGAGATAAACCGAATTTTCGTGGGCGACCCTCCGCGCAAGACTGAGGTGCAGTTTCTCGTTTCCTTTGAACTCTAACAGCTTTGTAACTTCTGAAACTTTATCGTAGTCTGGAAAGAGGTTACTTGAGAAATGTTGCCCTGAGTTCTAGGAAGATTATTATAGAAGTTTTTTTCAGCATAAAAAAGCCATGAAAACGCAATTTTTTGTTTTAAATAGGATATTTTGAAAATATTATATTATATTCTGTACTTCCTCCATCTACACTTATTCCATTCAGTCCAGTCAGAACATCCGGGCAAAGCTGCGGAAGATTTCTGCTTTTTTAGGTGAAGGTTGTGTTCTCCTATGGCGCTCAAAGTGAAGGTTATCAGACTATATGGCTTTGTGTATCGAGGGTATGGGATATCACTGATATCTGTTTGCAATACATATTGCCTTATTCATGCTTTACTGAGACATTAATATATCCAAATTTTTTCTCGTAAGGCTAATTTAGTATTCATTGCAATAAGTTTCAGAATCATTTTAACTAATTACAATCAAAGCAGATTACTAGAGAACGGTAGATTTGCATTGTTGATCATGGTTTGCAGCACAAACTTGTCGTCTATCTGCTCTCCGAAAAGTTGCGATGTAACGAGGATTGGACAGTAACGTATGCGGCAAGCAATAATTCACCATAACGTTAAACAGAGAAGGTGCGGAATAGTCTGAAATGCAAAATCAACTCACATCCAAAAACAGGCGTTGTCTTGCATCATTTCATAAGTTTCTACAGTTATCTATACAGTCGTGTATCGTCCTTTCCAAGCTGCGTCTCAGACCTGCCACGTGTGGCTAACATGTTGGGAATGTGGCAACAACATGTTTGCAACATGCCACAACATGTTGGCAGAACATTTTGGCCACGCCAACATGTTGCTGCATGTTGCCTACGTGTTGCTGCCAACGTTGCCAATTTGTTAGTCACACGTGGTACGTCCGCGACGCCACAAGGGTAGCACAAGCTGTGGAGAGGACGATAGATTTTCGCTTAATACAGTGTGCTTGCATTGCAGGTGAGACGTGGTAAAGTCTGCGCGCGAACAGATAGCCACGCCATGAATGTTAGCAGTTTGCGAGGGCGATTGGCCGGCGTCACAACCGCAGCTATTTGTTTACGCGTCTTACCGCATACCATCTGCAATGCAAGCGCACTGTATTAAGCGGAAATTCTAGTCAACTGTACCTAAGTGCTCTTTTGGGGTAATGGTAAATTCGTCAGAAACGCTACTCATGTCTTTTTTGTGACACATAGTCACTTTGTGAGACTACAGAGTACTCTCAATCAGATTGATCACTACGTAATATATTCTGGATTCGTTGTTTACCACTTGGCCACCGCTGATCCGTGGAACACGCCAAACGAGGAGAGAGCAAACGGAGAAATTATGATGAAAGATACTGATCTTTGACTTTGGATTGCTGCCAAGTGGCATGCGTTTTGGAGCGCTGCCAAACTTCATAACGAGTGACTAAGCATATTTTCGTGAAAGGGTTACGCGTATTCCGAAAGGTGAAAAATCATAAGTGTCGCAATGATTTTGAGAATGGGTCGTTGATGTGTGTTACTTGGTATATTACTCTTGGTGTATTACTTGTACCTGCTTTTTTGTCCAGCTTGTTATCCCAGAATGTGTCTTTCGAATATGTTGTCTGAATTTACCCATGTTCTCAACTCTTGGTAAAAATGCTCTAACTAAGAACAGTCACTTTAGGATTATCTTGCTTCCGCGTCTAGACAAGAGAGTGCGTGAACTTTGTTTCGCTGGGGCACGGAAACAGATTTTTGTACGTTTGGGGCAGTTTTCAGAATTGAAAGTCCAAAAGTGGCATGTACGGCAGTTTGAGAATACGCTGCAAATACTTGATTTCGTTGTTTTCTTTTTGTAGGAGTCGTAGTTGTTTTTTTCTTATATATACGGTCTTCAAGCGGCACTAGGGCATAAACTTTCCTTTTGAATAGTTACTATCGGTCTGTAAGCGGCACGTAGGGCAACTCGATCGGACAGGGAAACAGATTTTTGTGCATCTGCGGAGTTCTTATAATTCTTAAACGGTCTTCAAAGGGCATGAACTGTCTTTCAGATAGATGATATTGGTTTGTAAGCGGCACGTAGGGCAATTTGATCGGACAGGGAAACAAATTTTTTGTACGTTTGTACAGTTCTTATGATTGGCGGTCTTTAGGTGGCTCAGTAGTCGTGCTTTTCGGGAAGAGATCTCCTTTTGTAGTAAAGCTTCATATTCCTTTGCGAAAAAAATTAGGGATTCACTGACAAAGTTCTTAGACAATTGATTTCGATGCTGTCGGAATTGATTCTGAAGAAAAGAGTTATTTGTTGTACACATAATTGTTGTGGGTGTATTTACACTTCGAAAACGATAGGTGTTCTGCTACTTACTTAATCTTTTACGGAACTTGTTGAGAAGAACTGGAAGAGCAAATTCTCTTTGAGAGGGTAGAAAATTGGGGGGTTTTTTTTAATATGAATGTCTCTGTGAGGAGGGGAAACTTGCAGAAAGAGCGTGGTAAACGAGAGAAGAATAATATTCTCCATGCATGGTTGCAACAGGAATTTCGAGAAATGCTGAGAGATCTGTGGAGATTATCGCTTCTTCGCGCATTTCTCCTTTTGTAGAATGCTTTT